TTATATTCTATATAAAGTATAAAAAAAAATACAATTAATTTGTAATAAGCTTCTCATTTTACTAGCAAGCATCTCTGAGAAAAACCAAATGTACATGGATGTTAGAGTAAAAACTCCGGGCGTTCTAAATATAAAGTATGAAATTTCTGAAATCTATCCAATCGGTTCAGTTCCTGTAGGGCGGGCTGTCATGAAAGCATGTAGTGTAAATTCATTTGTTTTAAAGATCTTCATCTTTGAGAGACAAACCAAGTGTGTCGAAATAACATGTAAGGGAATCTCAACATGATTTGTGTTTTATTTCATAGGACCCGGAGGGGAGGGGGGGGGGTTCAAAAGGTTGTGCATATTGTAATGAAAATTTATCTCATATTTAAGAGCATCTTCTATACTAAGAAACATATATATAGGATAAAAATGAAGTTCAAAGCCAAAACAAGCAAGTGAGCCTCAGCAATAAATTGTGAAATAGTACGTATAGATATATAGTAGGATAGAAATGGTAAAAGTTTCGAAAATTGTCAAACAAATGGGCCTCAATACTTAAGACATCAGTGGCGGATCCATGAATTTCATAACGGGGGGGGGGCAGTAGAAGGCAGGGGGGTCTGGGGGCTGTATTGAAGCCCCCAGTGGGTCCATGGCAAAGGGTCCGGGGGCGAAGCCCCCTAAAGCTGACGAATCCTTGCAAATAAGAGGTGTTTTTTCCTTGATTTTAGGATAATGAACGTATAAGTTCTACATACAAAAAATTCAAACCGGGGGGGGGGGGGGGGGGGGGGGGGAAGGGGGCTCACGACCGACGCGCCGACGCTGGATCCGCCTTTGGACATTCTCACCCTTTATAAAGAGAGTCGTAATAAGCCATAACCTATGGTGATGTAATCTTTTACGAAAGCCTATTAGGATCAAACTACGGTAAAAAAAAATTTAAAAGGCGTTATAACGCCTTTTCAAAAGGCGTTATAACGCGAAAAAAGGCGTAATAACGCCTTTTGAAAAGGCATAATAACGCGGAAAAAGGCGTAATAACGCAAATAAAGGCGTAATTACGCCTTTCTAAAAGGCGTTATAACGCGAAAAAAGGCGTTATTACGCCTTTCCAAAAGGCGTTATAACGCCTTTCTAAAAGGCGTTATTACGCCTTTCCAAAAGGCGTTATTACGCCTTTCTAAAAGGCGTTATTACGCCTTTCCAAAAGGTTTTATTACGCCTTTTGAAAAGGCGTTATTACGCCTCTTTTTTTCAATACATGACTTACTTAGCCCACCCTGGGGGCTGATTATAATTAGATTTCTAGGAAAAAAGATTTTTAAATATGTAAAATATTTTCAGTGTTAAACCAACTTAGTCCTTCTCTGATGCCAGACGCTTCTACCAAGGTGTATGGATTTCAGAAATTTTGTTGAAGGCTAATTGCTCATTATACCTATGCAAATACTTTCCCTGTTTTTTACCAAGAGGAGAGAAAAATATTTTCAAATTTGACATGAATTTTTAATACGTGGCTAGCAAAGCCCAAAGCTGGTTCTGCCTATATCCTGGATTTTCAAAAGTAGAGTGATGACTTCTCTTAATATGCATGCAAAATGCAAACAACTGTCTGCGAGATGTGCAGGAATATTGATGATACTATAATTTATAATATAATTTATAATATTAAAACTATAATCTAAATATTGCATAAATAAAGATGGCTTTGGTTCAATCTTTCATATATTTACTATTTTAAAATAACGCCTTTCCATTTTTGGATACAATTCCTTTTCGAACAGGCCAGTAGTACGAATGTGAGTGGGGGGGGGGGGGGGTCCCCACCCCACTTTTTGGGAGAATAGTCTTGCTATAGTTTAAATATAAAAAATCATTTATTGATTGCTTGGTCCCTTAACATTTTGTTGCAGTATGGTTAAACTCGGGCAAGTCATTGCATTTAAAAAAAGTTTTACCGAAAAATTAGAAAAGGTTTCCCCTCAAGTTTAGACAGTTTATTTTTTCGGGGGGGGGGGGGGGGGGTCTTGTTTTTTTTTGTTTGCTTGTCAATTTCATGGGACCCCCCCCCCCCCACCTTAAAAGCACGGGCTTGTCAAAGACATAATAATGGCCCTTAAAAAGGCATAATAACGCCTTTTTAAAAGGCGTAATAACGCCTTTTCAAAAGGCGTTATAACGCCTTTTGGAAAGGCGTAATAACGCCTTTTGGAAAGGCGTAATAACGCCTTTTGGAAAAGCGTAATAACGCCTTTAAGAAAGGCGTTATAACGCCTTTTGGAAAGGCGTAATAACGCCTTTTAGAAAGGCGTAATAACGCCTTTTGGAAAGGCGTTATAACGCCTTTTGGAAAGGCGTAATAACGCCTTTTTTCGCGTTATAACGCCTTTTGGAAAGGCGTAATTACGCCTTTATTTGCGTTATTACGCCTTTTTCCGCGTTATAACGCCTTTTCAAAAGGCGTTATTACGCCTTTTTTCGCGTTATAACGCCTTTTGAAAAGGCGTTATAACGCCTTTTAAATTTTTTTTTTACCGTAGTTTGATCCTAATAGGCTTTCGTAATCTTTTATACGGCCTCTGAGACGTCACTCAGAGCTCCTCGAGCGTAGCGGAGTCAGACGAGGATTTGCCAATTGCTGAGACGTAGACATCAACTCGGAAAAAAATGAATTACAGGAGGTTTGAAGTTTCATCGTCTGTGTGTACGTCATCTTCACAAGCAAAGGGTTTTCGGTCCCCCATCGCTCCACCACAAACTCTTGGCTTGTGAAGATGGTTGAGCGACGAAGGGATTTGCGTTGTTAGAGCTGTTCATATATGTACCACAAAATAAGAGACGTCTCCAAGGAAAAACATTATCATTAAAAGCAGAAAAAAGCTAATGAGCTGTAAAATTTATATGTATCTGGCACGTCATGGTAGTAAATAATAATGGTTTTATAAGCATTAGATTGAACCCTGTAATGGAGTTTTCAAATTATAAAGGAGTAAACCGTTTGATCGAAGATAGGCTCATTTTACTTATTTTGCTGCGTGTATGAGCAGCTATTTATTAAATATTAAGCCTTTATCATTCTCTCATAATAAACGGGGTGTGATTTGATACCTTGATGATAATCTGATGTATTACATAATATCTATCATGATGGTACTATATATAGATAAGCAGTGCCTTTTGTTGATTTGAAACTTAATACACTGTCTGTATGTAGAAACCTATAGCTGAAAAGATGGATATCAAATCTTTTCATCATTTAAAAAAATGCTCTGCTTTGTCACTGAAAAGGCATGTTTAATTCTGATTTCCAAGTAATCTGCAGATATAGTTGTAATTGTGGATCACCACCCCCAATACAATCCCCTGTCTTGTGATTATTAGTGACTTAATTAATTATGATGTTTACAACAAAAAATTTGGAAATATTACCATAAGGTATATATGATTATTGAGTGTAATAAAATTAATCCACAAGTGCCTGTGATTAAATCAAGTGATTTAATATTGCTTCTTTGTGCTATTCCTGTTGGTAAATCTTGTCCCAGTTAGTACATATATATATACACGCACGTGTGAATAATAAAATAAACGCAAATCGACTGCTATTTTAAGCCGTCTGGTTTTTCTCGCTCTTCCGTATTTGGATATTTTTATATGTAATCATATGATTATATTGCAGGCGTTAAAAACGTCATTAGAGATTGGGGGAAAAAAGTATTATTCCCCTGGATATTACCATTAATTAATAAAAAGCTATAAACTTGGCAAAGCGATGAGAACCGTACACAACAAAAAGTCTTGACAAAAGGCAGAAAAAAATAAAAACTTAACAATTGATATTTAATCTTCAGAATATTATGTAATTCAGATTGTAACACGTTATTTCATTGGATAGAAAAAAATCAAAGCCCTGATTAGTCATATTTCTATGGAAGCATCCTCAGGTATAGTGCAGATTCAATTTTATCCAAATCAATAACCCCAGGGGAAGGATGGGGCCTCAACGGGCAATCAAAATTTTACGTAGGGGACTCTGCTGATGAGAAATATCAGATGAGCATTAGGACTATTTAAATATATTGAATTTCTTTTTTTAAATTTTCTTCTCAAGAACACCTATATATATATATAAGTCATGATTAGTCGTATTTTTATGGAAGATTTCTCAGGTAGATTGTATTCAAATTAAGTAAATAAATACCCCCGGGGTAAGGATGGGGCCACAATTTATCAAAGTTTTACATATATAGGAATATATAGGGGGGAATCTGCTGATATAGAACAGCAAGGTCCAGGCGCGGATCCAGGATTTTTTTCCAGGGTGTGGGGGGGGGGGGGTCTACTCCAGTCAAAAAAAAAATTTCCGACCCAAAAATTTCTTGACAAGCAAAAAAAAAACAAACAAACAAAACAAAACAAAAAACAAAAACAAACCCCCCCCCCCCGTAAAATCCATTTTCCGGACGGCAAAAACACCTATTTCGTGATGTGGATAGGGGAATCCACGTTTTCTAGGGAGGGGGGTCCAAGGTCTTTTTTATATGCTTCAGTATATACTTTTAATACCTCTGCAAATTCCAGGGGGGGGGGGGGGTCCTGACCCCCCTTCTAGATCCGCACATGGGGTCATTAGTGACTCAGATGAGTGTTGTGGCCAACGGGCCTTTTTATCACATTGTATAATTACTGTATTGAAATGCATTATACATGTAACACTGACATATTCCAATTGACCAAACCTTCCATGCTTCTCTTCTTTCTAATTGCTTGGAAAAAGAGAGATTTGCAGTTGACTACTCATGGTTGATTTACGCCGTATCTTCATTCATGCTGGGGGGGGGGGGGGAGGTTCTCCTTCACACTTCTGGTTCATCGTCTACACAATTTGATCCATCCAACGTCGAAACCTTTTTCATAAATAAAAAAAATATTTTAGAACTGAACTTACTCAAAAGTTTTAATTAATCATTTATATATTTTTTTTTCTTAGTTTATTTTTCTATTTCCAGGTGATGTTCTTACTTTTCGAGCAAAAGACCTGTCACAAAAAGAATACAGGTGGCTAAATAATAGAAAGGTAAAACAGATGCCCTTCCTCTCTCTTTCTATTTATTTCTCTCTCTCTCTCTCTCTCTCTCTCTCTCTCAGATTTACGATGCTTTTCCGGTAGTACTTCACATTGCTTTTCCGCGAATCAATTTACATAGGGTTGTCCAAAATCTGTTTTGTCCTTTCAGCGATTTTAAATGACCACAGATAATATGTAATACTTATATATATATATATATATATATATATATATATATATATATATATATATATATATATATATATATATATATATATATATATACTCTGTTCCGCGCTTTTAAAATCTAAATTCTGCACATAATAATTATTAATATATTAAAAATATAAACCACCACGTTTTATCTATAGTTGTGCTGTCTTGAAAGGACATTTCCTTACAAAGCCAGAGCAAGTAGTTTTGCTACAACAATTTCAAGTAACGTTCCAACAGAGATCCAGTTGTCAATTGGGATTTCAACTCCCAGCTGACATCGACACGTTAAAGGTTTTTTGGATTAAAAAAAATTCTGCGGATAATTTTAAATCAAGTGCACGTTTCAACGATATTTAAGACGTGTTTACCCATTGCTTTGTCTCTTAATGATGTTTTTCATTTTACAGATACTTTTCAAGGTTAAAATCTTTCCATCACCTCCAAGTGGTTAAGAGTCGTGTGTTTGTGTGTGTTAGGGTGTGTGTGTGGGGTGGGGTGGGGGGGTGGGGGGCTATATGCAGTACATTAGTCGGCTAACAGAAGGGGCATGCAGAAAAAAAAACTTTGAAAATCGATTATGATTTTTTTTTTTCGCGGAAATGCAGTACCGATTCGAGGAAAATGGTACATCATTTACAATATGTATAAATATCAACTTTGATATGACCATTAAACTGCTAGGACGTCTTATTGTACGTGTCGAAATGAGAATTTTCATGAGAAAGTCATTACAATGTACAAATATCAAGTCAAAATATATGCAACATGACGGCCCACATGACCTGAAATTGATCAGTATGAACTGAATTTTCTATTATTGATTACGTTGTTAACATTATATATCTAGACGCACCAGTCTGAAGTATTATTGATACTGTTTGATAGGAAACACAGCAATGGGAGTCATTCAGAGACAAGGGAAATCCAGAGAAAGAAAGCGTGGTAGTCCAGACTGATAATTATACACTCCGTAAGTAAAACAGAACAGAGATTTATAGATCTCGATCTCTCTCCTCTCTCGTGCATCTAGCAATTATTCTCTCTCTCTCTCCCTCCCTCGTTTTTTAATTAGTATCTCTTTGGTTGTTATTTAACAATTATATTTATATTTATTATTATTTATATTTCATCTAGCAATTATATTTTCTCTCTCTCTCTCTCGTGCATCTAGCATTTATACTTTATGCATGTGAGCTTCTATCGTCTACATCTACAATGTGTATATGACTGAAACTTCTTGCACACATATTTTATCGAACTATCCACTGGGCCCGGGTCCCCCTTTTGTGTCCGAAGTATAAGATTTAATAAATCATTCTTTTTTGGTGTGGCTGTGGGCCCCTACCCTGACTCCAAACAGGTCGCCCCCCCCCCCTTTTCAAGATGCCTGGATCCGCCACTGCTATCATTTTAAGATACACCGATACAATATTTATCACGATGTGGAAGGCTCCTAAAATGCTGTCAGCTTGACCATGATTTTTTTTTTTCGTTGCTGTAATACCATTGATCGTGAGCTGTTTTTGAAATTAACTTTCATCCTTTTTAACGAATTCGACATGCACACGTGATATCAAAGGTATTGCCAGACAGGTATGTACAGCTTTAGGATGACTTGGTGGCGACCGTCTCTTCAAATTTTATGCTCCCTCGTGTGCCAAAGATAAGAAGAAAATAAATATATAAGTGGTTTATGTATTGATGAAGTATTTATTGCACATCAAAGTGTGCTAAATCGCACAATTCATACAAACTGCGGGAATTCTGTGGTCATACATGTATACTAAAATAAAACACTTGTGAAAATATAAATCAAGCCACTAAGTAATTAATGTTTTCTTCTTCAGATTTTTCCTCCAACACAAAAGAGTTGTCGTCAGGAAATGACGCAAAGGATTATGTACCAAGACAGGTGTCATATCAAGACTTCTTAAACCAGGTAACATACAAACGCCCCATTACCAAGTAACACTCACCCGAGTGGCCCCTCCAGGGAGCAACATTAACTGCCACAAAATTTCAGAAACAAAATCATAATGATTTGGTCTACGATTTGGCATGCATGTGACAAAACCTTTCTTTGGGTACCATTATTTTTTGTCCTCATGACCCAGACCTTTGAAGTTTGACCTACCTTTGAAAAACTAAATCTTGGCAATAACTCCTGAATGGTTGGTTCTAAGGCTTTCATATATCACATGTGTATTCCTTGTGACAATATCAACATTTTTTAACTCATGACCTTGTAGATTGACCTACCTTTGAAAAACTTCTAAACTTCATAACTTCTGAACAGTTGGTGCGAGGGCTTTTATATTTCATGGATATTCCTTATGACAAGATAAGCTAACAACATTTACCTGTAGGGATACGGGGGCATCAGTGTTTCACAAACACAACTTGTTAACTGTATCTGATTGAAGTTGAAAAACATAATATTCTTTTTCAAGAACTTTATTGATACGTTCAGCAAATACGTTTAAGCATTTAGGTGCAATATTTATTCATTTATAGCTCTACTGATTGAGTTACCTATTTACTTGCTTTCTATTAATATTTATTTCTGTTAGTCGACACTGACTGCCATTGAAATATTATGCCTAACACAATCTCTTATATGGATATCGCGGGTTTTTAATTGTCATTAAAGTTTTTTTTTTAATTTCTAATATTAAATATTCATACAACTTAAACTTTCATTTTCATAATGCACCCTCTTATTTAATTTTGGACTACCAAATTATAAGTCTGAGGCTGCCGAGGGGATTAATTTATACAAAAGTCACCGAGAAGTCCGTATTATAATAAAATATGATTGTAAAATGTGGGGAATTTAATAATTTCATGCATGTCCTTAATACTTTGAACAAAAATGGTGATGGTATTTCCCAAACACTCTGTATTTTCTAAACGGTTGTGCAATATTCACGGACTGCATGGGTTTTTTTTTCTTCTACACTCACTAAGGTTCATTTTCCCTTTGTTCACTCGTATTAATTTTGCATTAATAAAGTCGTAATGATTCCTAATTGAAACCTAACTAAAACTACTTTATAGACAAGAAATATCAGCATATCTTTTTGTGCAAAATTTCACGTAAATATTGCCCTTTTACTTGACATTTAAGGGGATAATATACATAAATCCCAAAGAGAGTTATCTCTCTTTATAGAGGGTAAGTAAACCTTAAACAGTGGTTCATATGTAAACAGTTTTTAACTGTTGATAGTTTTTAGCTGTGTGATCTCTTCATAAAGCCCATCAATTGTTTTAACATTAATAAAACAGTACTAAAATGGAGGGAAAAATTATAAAACAGCGGACGGCACAAATTTGATCTTTAGGTTAATTGAAAGGGAGATAACTCTTATATATAGCCTTTCATTTCATATGAAAGTTGCAAAGGTAACTTTTATGTTTTACCATTTTTTTTAAAAATCTTATATCACTATACAGAATTTAATTGAACTTACAGCCATCAGTTGATCTCACCAAGCTACGGGCAAACTGGAGAGCCGATGCCCGCATTATACAGAACGCCAGCAATAAACAAAGTAAGATATAAGAAATCATTTCAATACAATTTTGTATTGCAAATACTGTGTTTGAAGCCTGATTTCTAAGCTCTCAATTTTCAGATGTTAAAGTATATTTTTAAGATTTGCAAAAATTGCAGGTGGACACGCAACATACTGATACTTTTCATTGTCATATGCCACATATGTATATAGGTTAATATGGAGGATTTTCAGTAGCATGTTCACTAAAAAATGTTTTGCATTATATAGGATTCCTGACAATTGGTATACCAACAGTTAAACGTGAGAAAGACGAATACATCCTAAACACCGTTCAGTCCATAGTGAACTGCACAACAGAGAACGAACTTACGGAAATTTACATTGTTGTTTTCCTCGCGGATTTTGACGCGAAATGGAAGGAGGACATAAGCAAGAGATTACGAAAAAACTTTCAAAACATTATCTCCAAGGGAACGCTGCACGTAATTCAGGCATGGGAGTCATTTTATCCGCCATTGGATAATTTAAAACATACGTTTGTGGATCCAGAGACCAAGAAAAGATGGCGGGCTAAGCAGAATGTAGATTACGCTTTCTTGTTTCTGTATAGTCAGGTTCTCTCCACGTATTACATACAGCTAGAGGACGATATTTACACTATACCGGGTTATCTAACGGTCATTAAAGATTACATTAATAAGATGAAGGACCGCTGGGTGTGTTTAGAGTTCTCAGAACTAGGCTTTATAGGAAAGTTATACCACTCTACCGATATTGAAAAACTTGCCAAAATGGTGCTTCTATTTTACGCACAACAGCCTTGTGACGTAACATATTTGAATTTCAATGTACAAATGTTGCAATTTAAGCGACGAATTCGTCGACCCACCATATTTGAACATGTAGGCTATCACTCTTCTCTTCCGGGTAAAGTACAACCTCTTAAAGATCGCTTCTTTCTGGCCCATCCTAAAACCTTAAAGGGAGATAATCCACCCGCCAAAATCTACACCAGTCTACCCTTCGAGGGATATTTTAACCCGGATAAAGCGTACAACAAAGAGGACGGTGTGTTCTGGAGTAAAAGGAATGGAAAAGCAAACGATTGGGTGTCTGTAGTGTTTGATAAACCCCAGTTACTGGACAGAATAATCATACAAACCGGAACAGAATCTCACCCGGGCGATAAAATTCATTACGCCAAACTCGAGGCTAGTCTTGCCTCGGTTTCAAAGGGGCCTGGGATGCCCGTATGTAAAGACAACAAACTGCTGGGTTATTTTGAAGATGGCGATCTTAAAATTGATGACGTTCGATCTGTCACCAAGCAGCAGAAAATTCACTGTTTGAATATCATTATTACCAACAAACAAGAGACTTGGGTGATAGTCAAAGAAATCGCCGTATTTGCTGTACCCCAGGAAAACAAGCAGAAGTCTTGATTAGACACAGTCCCACAGAATCTTTGCTGAAAACAGCACCTTCAATTTTTTTTAAATCGAGCCACCGCTCACTTTACATAACGGAAGTGCAATACATCAATGAATCCACGTGTTGAAGTCCAGAACAGTGCAATATTTAATAATATAGATACCAGTTTGTATGTTGTCATAGACAGCAACTGAGATATACAGAAACGTGGGTAAACGAAGGTATGGCTCGTGAGAAAAATGTCCTCCAAAATAACTGCTTTTTGGTGGTATGTTAGTGATATTATCATTGCTTAGAACAGGTATAATTCCTAAAGTGCCAGCAATCAAACCACTGAAATCAAAGAAAATTCAAAACTAAATAAATAAACATTCCGATTAGATGTCAAGAAACAAGAAAATTTTAATTCTTTTTTTTTTTTTTTTTTTTTTTTTTTTTGGCCAAAGTCAAATGTCTGAAAATAAGAGTTTCGATCAAGAAAAAATACCCAGCCATTAAACATGCATTTTGCCACTTCTAAATTTTTCCGCAATAACGATATATCGTGATTTTTAACTCACATGAATTTGAGTTCGGTGCTCAAGTGAGTTCCTCTGACGAATTGTCCAGCGTATATATATTGTAAGAGTGATCACAATACATGGAATTAAGAAGAATCTTTTTAAGAACAGCAGGGTCAATATGGTCCATTAGGGTGGGAACAAATCAGATATTCATAGTTTGAAATTGGAGTATATATTTAAAGGAATAGCATGACCCCCCTACCCCCCCCCCCCACCCCATCCACCGGGGGAGGACAATCTTAATGCAGGTAAGAACTGTGTGACTCATGGATCTTCTTTTTTCTCTGAACCATCCATACCTTTCTTTACGCATGTCATTTTCTGTGTGACACAAAGGCGGTGTTTTGTCAAAACCAGTACTTGCATAAAATCGTTGATTTGTGTCAGCATTATTTATAGAGCTTCCTTTTTTGTGTGACTGGCAGCGGAATTTAAATAATTGTATTCAATGAGAGAGAGAGAGAGAGAGAAAGAGATGCTTACCGGTGAGTTTTTTAATTATATGCTTTACTTTGCCATTTGTTAGATCTCGACAAGTGTTTGATGTTGATTTGTTTTTTTTTTAATTTGGATAGGCTACTTTTTGTTTTATTAAGCAGTACATTGTACTTCAACATATATATATATGTATGTCTATATAATTATAATGAATCAAAATATTTTACGATTGAATCAAATATAATTATAGCATTCCGGTTTTTAAAGAATGATCTATGTCTTAATAAATTAGAAGTTAAAGTAATAAAAAGTTTTTTTTAATGATTTCAATGTTTATTTTTTTTTATGTTTAACATATCAGGACGATCGTTCAACAGCGCATTTATACATTTATATATGTACATAGGGCTGCGCAAAATTATCGATATTCCAGTATATTGCGATTCGTTAACAAAAAATATCATATAGCGATACGTTTCTCCAGTACCGATATCGGCAAACTGCTTGGGCTTTAGATTTCTTAAGTAAAATATGAAAATTAATAGGTTAGAAATGTTTGCAATCGTGCCAAAGAGTTCCAAATGGCAATGTTGCTGTTGTATGGTTGCATTTCGTTCCAAAACTATAGTGAATCAACAAGAACTTTGTTTTTGTCATAATGTATTTATAAGAGTTTTACACACTCTTCTTATAGATGAAGGTTAATAAAATAAGAAAAAAGAGCATTTTAACTGTCATTAAAAATATTGCAATACATATCGCAATACAGTTAAAAATACCGCAATATATCGCAATACAAATTCCCAGCCGATACCCAGCCCTAGATGTACATGTAAAAAAAATGGCTCAATTAATAAAAATAAGCAGCTATAGCACCAGTAAAAGATATCGATTTTGTGTAGGAAAATGGGAAGATAACGAACAGTGAACAACCTCATAAGATCTGTAAACAAGGAAAAACATGGGCCCTTGGAAAGGTTTGATAGAACATATAATAAAACATCACTGGTTCAGAATTATAACTGTGTCACAGTCGTCACGTGGAGCAATATAAATCGGGATTCACAAACACGTATGCAGGCGTATTTATAAGATAATTGCTTCTTCAATTGAAATGGAAAGCACAGATTTTTCCCCTAACTAGCTTTGAGTATTCTCATGAAGCAGAATTTATTTAAAACTTCTACACGAGAAGAAGTCTCTTGCTGCTGGATTCAGTTCGACATTCAGATGTAATGACAACGTTTTATTAACAAATTTCATTCTCATCTGTGTGTCGACTCGATATAGTTGCCAGTGAACTCAAAAGACACTACGTCTGTTTCATATTTGGATACTTTTAAAGTTAATGGTAATCTAATATCTTCTGTGTATAATCAATTATAAAATAAAAATAAGCTACTGACAAAAAGTTGATGTTACAGGGCTTACAAAAATCTCGTTTAAATTCAGTATTTTGCAAAATCCTGAGCCAAAAGATGAAATCATCCAGAACTTAAATACTATTTTTGATGCGCATCGTTATCAGTGAAGTGGCTCTTTAAGGGCTCTTTGCTGCCAACCCGCATCAAGTATATACATGTATATACTCTGGCGACGAAGGATTCAACAGTGTTTAAGCCATTGAAAATAGCAAGGCATAATGAAAATTAATGTTGTCAGCGTGTTTTTCGAAGTTAATATTAAGGAATATTATTTATGGCTCCTGTGTCAGGGAGTTTGAGGTTTTAGGACAGGGCTTAAATGATTATATAGTGAAAATGCATTATTCTTTGAAAATCTTCTTTCCTGCTCCTGCTCATTAAGCAAAAAAACTTAGTGCAAAGTTATGGTGAGCATGGGTGTTTCTTTCATAATTGTGAAATTTGTGGCCCCATGGTCAGGGGTTTGTGTTGGAGGGGATCTCTAATGATTACATAGTGAAAATACATTGTTTCTTTGAAAATCTTTTTCTCTGCTCCTTGGTACTAAACAAACAAGGTAAGTGCATAGTTATGATGATCAATGGTTCCCTTCCCAAATTGTAAACTTCATGTCTCCTGGGTCACGGTATATTGATAAAAAAGTGAACATAAATTAATTCTTCTCTGCTCCTGGGTATTTAGTAGAATAACTAAGTGCATATTTATAATAAGCAAGGGTGTCTCTTCTAATATTGATAAATTCATGGCCACTGGGTCAGGGGGTTCTGGTGTTAGGGTAGAACTTTATAGATCAGATATTGAAAATGTGTACATTCCTCAACTATCTTCTTCTCTGCTCCTAGGTATTTAGCAGACAAACTAATTGTATGGTTATGATGAGCAAGGATGCCTCTTCCGAAATTATGAAATTCATAGCCCCTGGGTAAGGGGTATTGGTGTTAGGATGGTCTCTGTTTAATACAGCATGAAAATGCTTGATTTCTTTTAAAATCTTTTCTGCTCCTGGGTATTTAGCAAACATACTTAATCCAAGATAATGATAAGTAAGAGTGCCTCTTCCGAAATTGTGAATTTCTGGGTCTAGGGCCTCTGGTTCTAGGGACGGCCTCTATTGATTGTTATAGTGAAAATACACAAGTTCTTTGAAATCCTCTCTGCTCCTAGGTATTAAGCAAACTAAGTGCATAGCTATGATAAGCAAGTGTAATGTATTTCAAAGAAGCAATTTTTCGCTGACATTTTTTTTGCTAACTTTTAATTTATTATTTACTGCATTACCTCCGAATCTTTATAATTTTTCCTATATTCCTCCCTCACTTTCTTCTCTACTATCGTTAAGTTGGACAGAAGATAAATGTAATAAGTATATACACATTCTGTAACAATCCTTTATGGGGAAAACATTAACATATATTTTCAACATGAAATAAAGGATGATTTTCAGTCATATTTAACAATACAATAGGGAATGCTTGGGAATCTATATTTAAAAAATCACGGGACAAAGATATCGCCTCTTATTCTTTCTTTTTTGATTGGTCGAGCGGTGTGGCAGTGGCGTCGATGTGTAACATCCGGTCTAAAACCATGGCCAGGAAGCAGCCAATGAACGGCCCGATCCAGTAAACCACAAAGTGTTCCCATGCCTCCGTCCCCTTACAGCCAAACAGGTGCCCGGTGGCCATAGCTGGGTTAAAGTACATTCCGGTGAGGTTAATCCCTGGAACATGATAACATTGAGGTTATCAGTGAGTATTCTAAGAATAATGGGAGAGGATAGGTCTTTAATATAATTATTTCTTTTGCAGATAACGTTAACAGCTAGACCGAAGAATATTTACAGCTGACAATCTCTGCTAAAAGTTTTGGTTCGACTGAAGTTTGAAAGTAAAACTACAAAGAAAATGTATAATTCCTTTATCACACGCTAGGCCTAGTTGCTCCATCTCAAAATAATCATTGGAATTACTCTTAATAGTCAATATACTATCGACCACCAGTGTTTCACATTCAGCTATATAGGGGCTGATTTTCTCACCAACTTACCCATTACAATCATTAGGGATCCATTGCTTAGTTTTATTAATTCATCCACTATTGAATTTTTCATCAACACTTGCATCCCTAACCACGTGTCAATTAGAGTGGCACCAAACTCCACCAACATGCCTACAACAAAGGTCACGTTAAGGTCAGAAGCGCACTCTTGTTCGTAAAATCTTTCTCTGTGGTCGGGAACCAGATCAAGGGACCAAACTAATTTTGCCAACCGATACGAGGCTAAACCTGCTAGGGTTTGCACTGCTATTTTTAGAACGGCTGTGGTGAGTCCTATTTCGCAGTTACAGAATTGGTAAAAAGCTTTAACTGGATTTTCAGACGCACCAAAATATGTCCTGTTGGCGATGAAACACTCAATAACAACAGCGATAAACAGCCATACGGAGCCGTAATGCTTAAAAATGAAATTGTTCTCAAAGAAGTAGGCACACATTTCCATTGTAGCAAGGAAATCCGCAATGTATTCTTTGAGAGCTTCCGGAGAAAACATTCTATTGAGAATCCGGAGAATAATCCCTAAGCCCATTACAAACGAGAAGTACACAAGGCTTGCCGAAAATGGTTCGAAAAATTCATCGTCTGCAATGTCTGTACCAAGCGCTAGTTTCCATAGATTCCGCCACATTTTTGCTCTCTGAAGGGGAAAAAAGATTTTTAAATGTACATGTACAAATGTATAATTAATTGCCATGGAAAAACAATTTCTTATAACACCCTTTTTATCAAAGGAAGATGAGTTTCTATGAACGATCTTTTGTGTGATTATGCATTGTGGAACCACTTATAGGTCACAATGGATGAGTTGTGAAAAAAAATCGAGAACAATCTTTTCCAAAAATTACCTCCATTTGTACGCCTTAGTTTTGATCTGATTTTAATACAAGTTGATACACAGATGAATTATAGAATCAAAATTATTGATATCAGGCATATATTGTAAGAGGGTAAAAAATGGCCGAAAAAAATCAGATAATTCTATTTTAAGTGATCTTGACAACACTCCTTCAATGAAATAATAAAACAAGATGTGTTTGTGAAACACTGATGCCCCTCATGGCAGCTTATGGCGAAGGTTAAAGTTTCTCAAATGCAAGTCAAAATCCAGGCCAAAAGATAAAAAAATGTTGGTACCCAAAGAAAGGTCTTGTCTCGAGGAATATAGGGTCAAAGGGTCAAAGTGGTTGGTATCCAAAGGTATCCAAAGGAAGGTGATGTCAGAAGGATTACATATGTGAAGTATGAAAGCCCTGTTCCAACCGTTCAAAAGTTATGGCCAAGGTTAAAGTTTTTCAAAAGTGGGTCAAACTCCAAAGTCAAGGTCAAAGTTGTTGGTATCCGAAGGAAGGTCTTGTCACAAAGAATACACATGTGAAGTTTGAAACCCCACGCACCAACTGTTTTGAAGTTATGGCCAAGATTAAAGTCTCATAAAATTTTGCAAAAGTAGGTCAAACTCCAAAGTCAAGGTCAAAATGTCAAATTTGATGGAACCCAAAGAAAGGTCTTGTCACAAGGAATACACATGTGAAATATGAAAGTCATAGCTACAACCAATCAAAAGTTATGGGCAAAGTTAATGTTGACAACAGACAGACAAACAAACAGACAAACAGGACAAAAACAATATACCCCCGGTATCTTTCGATCCGGGGGCATAAAAAAACGCAATACAGAATCTTACACCTTACAGAGTTTGTGCGACGCCATGTTTTATTTTTAAAGTCAAACAAGACTAGTTCAAGAGTGATCCACTGAAAAAAAAAGATTATCTTAGTACAGTCTTCTTGTGTAGCAGTTTTTATGCATCGGGATCGAAAGATCCTGGGGGTGTATTGTTTTTGTCCTGTTTGTCTGTTGTCAACTTTAACCTTGCCCATAACTTTTGATTGGTTGGAGCTATGTCTTTCATATTTCAATACAGTGTATTCATTGTGACAAGACCTTTCTTTGGGTACCATCATATTTGACCTTTTGACCTTGACCTTGGAGTTTGACCCACTTTTGCAAAATTTTATGAGACTTTAACCTTGGTCATAACTTCTGAACAGTTGGTGCTTGGGGTTTCAAACTTCACATGTGTATTTTTTGTGACAAGACCTTCCTCTGGATACCAACAACTTTGACCTTTTGACCTTGACCTTGGAGTTTGACCTACTTTTGAAAAACATAAACCTTGGCCATAACTTTTAAACAGCTGGTGCTTGGACTTTCATACTTCACATGTGTATTTCTTGTGACAAGACCTTCCTCTGGATATCAACCACTTTGACCTTGACATAGGAGTTTGGCCTACTTTTGAAAAACTTTAACATTGGCCATTACTTTTGAAGGGTTGATGCTAGGGCTTTCATACTTCACATATGTAATCCTTGTGACAAGGCCTTCCTTTAGATACCAACCATTTTGACCCTTTGACCTTGACATAGGAGTTTGACCTTCTTTCGAAAAACTTAAACCTTGGCCATAACTTTTGAATGGTTGGTGCTAGGGCTTTCATACTTCACATATGTAATCCTTTTGACAAGATCTTCCTTTGGATACCAACCACTTTGACCTTGACCTTGACGTTTTACTTACTTTTAAAAAGCTTTAACATTCGCCATAACTTTTGAACAGTTGCAGCTAGGGCTTTCAAATTTCACAGGTATATTCCTTGAGACAAGACCTTTCTTTGGGTACAAACATTTTTTTTATCTTTTGGCCTGGATTTGACTTGCATTTGAGAAACTTTAACCTTCGCCATAAGCTTCCATACATCAGTGTTTCACAAACACATCTTGTTTGTTTGTTTGTTTGTTTGTTTGTTTTTTTGAAATCGGATGAAAATTGGAGGAGTAACCTTTTGAAAGAATTTCACAAAAAAATCGATTCTTTCGATGGCAAACCATACTGATTTTGTGCAATGGACAAGAAGGGAGGTACATTTAGGAATTATGGTAAGTATAACGATTTTTTTCACACTCGGTGACCGCAGCAACATTGTCCGTCAAAATGTATATTAACATATTGATACACAGAATTTATATCTGATACACAGAATTTATAACTGGGTGATACACAGAATTTATGACTAGTACACAGAATTTATACACAGAATTTATAACCTATAACTGATACACAGAATTTATAACCGATAAACAGAATTTATAACTGATACACAGAATTTATAACCTATAACTGATACACAGAATTTATAACTGGGTGATACACAGAATTTATGACTAGTACACAGAATTTATAACTTATAACTGATACACAGAATTTATAACCTATAACTGATACACAGATTTATAACCGATAAACAGAATTTATAACTGATACACAGAATTAAGTACCTGGATGAAGTTTATTTGTCAAAGGTTACCTGTTACTTGAAATATTTATGTAATCGGTTATAACTAGGTCCTCTCTAATTAGGCCGGGTTTCATTTTACGTGCTGTAAGAAGATGTCGAATGGTGAAAAGGTCAGCATGATGCTTATCGTATCTTATCGTATCTTATCTGTTTACCATTTTGAAGAAATCTAATTTTATCAACATGACAGTGCAAAACGTTCCAGACAATTAATTTATATAAAAAGGAAAGAAAATCTAGAAAATCTGCTATTGCAAGTAATACCGTATGGCACCCCGAACTGAACCAGAAACCGTAAGATCGTTCAATGCTTATATACAAGGTAATTTGTAGAAGAAAATTGTTTTTGAGAGATCCGATTGGTGAAAGATAAAATTCTTAATTTTTCTCGGATATCCTAGAATAACAAGAAGGTCTTCATTAGAAGACGAAAGACCTTAATTAACAGAATGCCAGGTTCACGTCGAAACACGGCTGAAGCAAAATAATTCCTGAATTTTCTTCTTCAGTTCGGGCATTTTTTTCATAGACCAGGGACTTCTTTATGAGATGATGAACTATTTGTAAACTTTCTTTGATAAGAAGAATCATGAACATTTCCGGTGTGTTGAATGTTTTGTGTACAGTAGTGATGAGGCCTTCACGCACCTGTGGGAGCGGATCTCAGGATTTTCGAAATTAATAAAAACGATGGAAATTAAATTTAAATAATTCTAACTACCGTTGAATGAAATTATTCATATGCAAGTAATACATTTCCATTGCAACGGTAGCCATGTTGAAACTGAAAATGTTCACTTCATGACTATACAGCTGGTCATCATCTTTTATGGAAAGTTTCAGCATGATTGTCCCAGCCATCTGCGAGAAAGTCTGCGGACAACGTTATTTACAGGCGCACAATAAGCAATATGTCCCCCGATTTCGTTCGGGTGACATAATTACATATTACGCTTAGTTCACTTTGTTGACAAACCAGATGGTAACCTTTTCTGCATGGTTGTTAAAGAAGATGTCGGTTAAATACTTTTCGATAGCCTGGGTACATGAAATGTGTTTCTTACGTTGATTATATAATACAAAAATCGCAAGAAGTAATTATTGCAACAGCCCAAACACCTGACTTTTTAATAAATGTTTGAACAATTAAAAAAAGGTATATTAATTCATTCTCGTCATTATTTAGCGATTCATTTTCCTCATTCGCATAAATTTGTCGAAAAAGTCTTTTCTGGCTTCTGTATATTTTTTGCATGAGAGAAATGACGATGGGTATCCCCCAATCTTCCACAAGAGCAAAGGGGACTGTACATATCCGGCCTATAGAATATTTTATCTTCTGATTATTATATTTTCTGTGTTTATTCATTTTAAGCTGAGATCCATGTGTGTAAAAATGTTTGATTTAATCCACATGTAGGGAAAGGGCGATTTAAGTTTTAAGAACTTTTGCCCGATCCCAATTGTAATTTAAAGTCAATAAAATATTTCAAACCAAATCAAATCTGTTTCTTCAAATTTAGAGTATAACAGAAATGTTATGCATATATGTATCTTATAAGAAGATAATTGGTTTGTATATTTAATTATTTGAAACTTGTGTTTAGTGATGTAATAATGCATGCAAAAGGTGTAGAAAGATACTACACATATTTTAACATATTCCACATGCATTTCTATTGTAGAAATTTACAGTCGTTCTGTACGCACCTGCATACCGCGGTGCAGCTTGTTAGGTTCGTGTGCACGTGATCTTTAAATACATGAACACTACGTCCATACCTTGCAATGCTTGAATGATATTTCATTTTGAGTGTAAACAACTTACCGGATTATGTTTATATATGCGTATTGTCCAATTGTATTAATTTCCGGCCTCCGATGAATTAGTTATTTTATTTCTCCATGAAATTCTATTCCTCCATTATCGTGCTAGCTACAAGTTGTGCAAAATTGTGAAAACCAGCATCTGTAGTTCGTTAAGGCAGTTGCAAAGTTCGTACATCGCTATAAATAAAGAGAATATTTATATTTAGCACAATAGATATGACATCTTGGTAGCTATCCAGGCTTAATGAATGAGGCACGGAAAGGAAAATTGTTAGTTTTACCTGATAATTAACACACACACCCTCACACACACGCATGCTTCATGCTTATATCCTTTATACCTATCAAAGCTTGCATCTTATTATTATAAACATTTTTTTAATTAAATTTCATTTTCAAATTCCATCTAAAATATATTTCCTTTAAATAAAATGTTTCTGGAAGATTTTATAAATTTAAAAAAAAAATTAAGCCAAAAAATATTTTAAAAAATGTTCACGGCTATTATTTTGCTATAACAGGAATAAAATGTTTTTTCTGACTCTTTTTGGCGTGTGTTACATTGATAAACAGCATATTTTGAGTGTTTTAAGCTCGAAAGTGTTTTATTTGTAATATAACCAAAACAATCATTACTTTCGGGGGAAAATAAAAATAAAAATAATAAAATGAGTGCTTACATCGATGTTTCAGTGTTGAAGAAAAGGGAATCCAAGGTCAAGCTTAAGAGTCACTATGGATGTAGCTCTCGAAGCTTAGGTTTTCAGGTTCTTTAATTTTTCATGTTGTATTTTAAAAAAAAAAACAGGAGGTTAATCATTGATAAAAAAGATGGTATATGTTTGTTTCTAAATTTCGATAATTTTAACCTAAAATAAAGTAATAAAATGATACCTATTACTCTACTCTAATTTCCTTTTTAAAATTACACAAAAGGCTCAACTTCTGCCTTATTTTTGCCACTGTATTATGAAAATATAAAAAAAAAAGATTATTCCTGCTATGTAAAACACCCAATCCAATTTATAAGCATGAACATACTTATGATCATTATTTATTTAATGATCTTATATCTGTTACCTTTTTAAGAATTAAAAAAAGTACATCCAGCCAGAGTTATCCTTCACGACGGACTCTCTAGTAGAGAAGGTAGAAAAGCGTACCGGTGGGTATTCTGAATTTCCTTCAGTCTAGAGTTGACAGAAAATAAAAGGAATTCAAATTCTATAGGAAATATATCGAAGAAGTAAGTGCACCAAAGAAAAAAGTTAATTAATAAAAGAATTAAATAATTTTAAAGGTTTTACGATGGTTAGATACATGTTCAGCAGAAACAAACACATCTACATGTAACGTTAAGTTTATCAATATCACGTTTTGTTTACATGATTAAACAGATAAGAGGGTATAGCCAGCAGGGACCTATATAAGTTAGGTCCCTGCTGGATATACCTTCTTATCTGTTTAATCGGTGTGTGAACAGTTTATGTTTGAGTTTTAATTATTTGCTTGAACGTTATTCTCTTTAGAGAAGTGGACAGGCTTTCGCCTACATCTCTAAAGGGAATAGGTTGAACATATGTATTTTGAAACATCTTAATTAAAAGATACGATAAAATCAGAAATCCACAGAAGTGCTTCAAGTAGAAATTGTCAAATAAATTGATTGTTGAAAATAGAATAAATCACCAACACCACTAAAGTTTTATAATGTCATTTTTAGCAACCCATTCATAAAGATTTACTTTCTGACCAGTACATGTATATTATTAACAATTTACATATACATTGACAAAAAGGTGTAATGATATGATAAAAAAATGTAAAGATTGTGTATGCTAGTCACAGAGAAGCTAGTAATCATTGAAATTCAAGACTGGCAAATGCAATGACATACTTTGCTAGGACCTTGTAACACAGATAACATAAGAAAAATTAAAAGTAACTGCTACTTTGCAGTGTAACCATGGAAAAAATGTACTGGATTATATTTGATTTTTTTTTTGAAATGTGAAATTATTTATTATATTTGAGTGTATGACTTTATAAAAATGAATGAATGAAATTATATTTTTGAATACTTTGTTTCCATAGTAACTTCATTACTTGTATATTAGCTGATTTAAATTCCCAAATGTTTTTCATGCATTCAAGACATCTGGACTTCAGCTTTTGGAATTAGTCATATAACTGCCACTTGTTTGCACTGCTGCAAACGTTAACTATGGGATTGAACATGTTGAAAAATATGGCATTTTTCAGACTTTATGGTTCGTTGCCATAGTAACCTTGACATATAGCAACCAATTATTTCCTAATTTGAGATTACGATATCAAAGACTTTCATCATAGAGAGTTTAGGGAAATTCTGAGACTATGCGTGCCACAGCTCCTATATAAAGTTTCAAGTCATTACAGAGAATGGCTCTTAAGTGCCTTTGTTATGAAAAGTCTGGTAGGTGGTGTCCCAATAATGGAGGCCACCTAGACCTGTTCAATAAGGGTGGCAAGAGGCGATTTATCACTGTTTTAATGATTGGCATGCAGTGCTTTAAGTTTCATAATTGGTAAAATAAACTATTATAATTATTGAAAATAATTTTAAAACAGACTCTTCAAATGGATAAATTCACCTCTTCACTTCAAAATTATTGAAACCTCTGGAACTTAATTCCAAGTTGAAATTACACTTTTTTTCCAAAAATAAGATCTCTAGTTTTTAAGATGCTTTGAACACTGAGTTTTATTCTTCATTTTTTGTTTGTCATTTAATTAAGTAAAACAAAACACTGAAGAATTTTCTTTTAGACCATAATTAAAGAATCCTTGATTTACTTTACTCACGATTGTTTTATTACAGTCAAACCTCGTTATCTCAAATTTGATGGGACTGAGAAAAAAACTGAGAGATATCAATGAGGGTAAAATACTTAAAGAATATGTGGTTTGGGACTTTTCAAAACCACTTTGACATATCCATCGTATTCGAGATATCGGTGTTCAAGATACCGATCGAAGTTCAACTGTATTTTATTTTTGGATCTAGGCTTAAAGTTCTTTTTTTTCTAATTCAAGGTGTTAGGTGTTTTAAAAATGTTATATTTTTTCTTTATCTAAGCTAATTGATCCACTTTGATAGTGCTGGGCAACGTTCAAGAATGTAGCAGCTATGATCATGAACAGTATGCTAGACTCATCATAATCATAACAAACATTAATTCAGACAGTGAATTTAGCAGACCAAGCTATCTAGCCTAGCAGCTATAGGTTGGATTCTATGATCTTAAAAGTTGCCTTGATTTATCCCCCCGTCTAATGTATCATAATGCAATAATCTTCATTTTGATGTACCATCACAAAGTCAGCTATTCATGTTTATTTTAAGTTCTTAAACTGTTGGAGATGCATGGTATTTATATATACACATGACAAATGTAAATATTGTTGCAGACTGAAGATGTTAAGACCCTGTCCATTTGCTCGTTGTTTCCATCGCAGTCTACATGTGGTGACGGTCACTGGTTCCTCTCCCCAGGTCCAGCAACCTTTGAACTTCCTCCAGGGTAGACGCTGTGACCCGACAGACACTGCTGGAAAATTTGACCTGAAGTATCCAGCAACAGGTGAAGTCCATTCAATCCAAATAAATAGTTCATATGTTAGAAAATGAATGTCCTTCTTTTCCTAAGTTTAGCCTAGACATATCTACATGTTGTTGATGTCTGACATCTCTACATGATGTTGATGTTGGACATCTCTACATGATGTTGATGTCTGGCATCTCTACATGATGTTGATATCTGACATCTCTACATGCTGTCTGACATCTCTACATGTTGTTGATATCTGACATCTCTACATGATGTTGATGTCTGACATCTCTACATGATGTTGATGTCTGACATCTCTACATGATGTTGATATCTGACATCTCTACATGATGTTGATGTCTGTGATCTCTACATGATGTTGATGTCTGACATCTCTACATGATGTTGATATCTGACATCTCAACATAATGTTGATGTCTGACATCTCTACATGATGTTGATATCTGACATCTCTACATGATATTGATTTGATGTGTGTCATCTCTACATGATGTTGATGTCTGACATCTCTACATGATGTTGATGTCTGACATCTCTACATGATGTTGATGTCTGACATCTCTACATGATGTTGATGACTGACATCTCTACATGATATTGATTTGATATCTGACATCTCTACTTGATGTTGATATCTGACATATCTACATGATGTTGATGTCTGACATCTCTACATGATGTTGATGTCTGACATCTCTACATGATGTTGATAACTGACATCTCTACATGACATTGATTTGATATCTGACATCTCTACCTGATGTTGATATCTGACATCTCTACCTGATGTTGATATCTGACATCTCTACCTGATGTTGATATCTGACATCTCTACATGATGTTGATATCTGACATCTCTACATGATATTTATTTGATGTCTGTCATCTCTACATGATGTTGATGTCTGACATCTCTACATGATGTTGATGTCTGGCATCTCTACATGATGTTGATGTCTGACATCACTACATGATGTTGATGTCTGACATCTCTACATGATGTTGATATCTGACATCTCTACATAATGTTGATGCCATGTCTTTGCTTCTTTAAATATGATAATTAATCCTTGAATTAATTCAAAGAGAAGATAAAGATTTAACAAGGTGGCAAGAATCAATATAACAGCTTAGTTTACCTGTTATGATATCAGGAATATGTTATTTATGCTTATAATTTGAACTTTTGCATGCAAATTGTGTAAAAAATAAAAGCTGGAAGTGATGCTATGATGAAATAGAAATTTCTGCCAGAACTTGCATTAAAAATGCAATTTCTTCCTTTTCTTTGTAGATGAAGTTTTACGACAAGTGCCCTCCTCGGGTCAGAAGGATGTAGATGAAGCTGTGGGTCAAGCTAAGGAATCCTTCAGGTCATGGTCCAAGCTGTCAGGGTTCGAACGGGGCAATGTCCTCAAGAGAACAGCAAACATAATTAGGGTAATCTACATAATCAGCTGTCATTTAATATTCCCTCTTGAAACAAAGTATGGGTTGAATGTAGGAATAGCCAAGTCCATCTGTCTGTATGCAGGGCTTAGTATTCATTGCTACAATAAAAGGATTTAAAATTTACTCTTCTTCTTTAAATTATGGTGAAAAATTTCCCAGCAATTTTTTTTATCACAATTTGGGAATTTTCAGATTGAAATTGTTAATTGAATTCTTTATGTAATTATGTCTGATTGACAAATGATCAATTTCAGATAATGAATGAGTCTTTACATGAAGAATATTAAAGATCAATAGGTGAAAATCTAAAGGTTATTCATTGTTAGATTGAATCTGTGCCAAAAAAATATGTGTATATATGGAAAAACTTGTCTAATCTGTTGTGTATTCCAAATTCTTGTTCATTATGATGCAGTCTTTAAGTCCCTTTCAGTAAATCCAATTGTTTAAAATGTTTTCAAATATTGAGTGTGTATTTATGTATTTATTATTTTTTAAAATTTATTTTTAATGTTTATTTTCTATGGAACCAGTGGTAGGTATCCAGATTAGACAAATTTTGCTCTATGCAGGGGTGGATTCAGGATTTTTTTTTCAGGGAGGGAGGTCCCCACAACTATAACAAATGTCAGATTTAGAAAAAAGGAAACTAAGCAACCCTGAAAATCCTATTTTGGGGAAGGGGGGGTTGATTGGTTGGTAGGAGAAGACACTTTTCTAAACCAATTTTAATCAAATGGATGAATCTCTTACCATTTTTAGAGGAGTCCCGTGTTTCCTGGGGGGGGGGGGGGGGGGGGGGGCCAAGGTATTGTTTTGTTAGTTTTAAAAAGAAATTTAATAATCCAAAAATTCCAAAGGGGGGGGGGGGTTGCAGCTGCACCCTGAACCCCCTTTAGATCTGCCCATGGATACTGTTTATATCTGTACATGCACAGGGTCAAACTTAAAATGAAATTTACTGTAACGATTTATATTATCATGTTTTAGTTAGTTAGGCCGAATACTGTTTTTTTCTTCACATGAGGATTATTTTTGGAATGCCATGGTATATTGCATCATAACTGCTATAGAAACTAATTACCAATATAAAGCTACTTATTTTTAGAGGAAATATAAGTGAATACATGTATTTACATTTGCTGTTTCTCTACTAAACCAACTATGAAATTGATGGGAATACCATTTTTGTGTAAAGTCAAGTTTAAAAATATACAAGGAGAAACTCGGACAAGTGACGTCACAATAAGGTTAAAGAGATGGTGATGTAAATGTAGCAATATAGGGTAACAAAAAATTCAAAAATTCAAAATTCAGTTTTGCTGTATATTTTTGTTGATTTTAAACATTTTGAATGTAAATAGAAGAATGTTTTTCAGTTTGTGAATGTTATTGATGTGTAAATCACACAAACTTGCATGTAAGCATATGGTCAGGTTTACTAGTATTGAGTTTATTTTCAGTGAATTTTATTTATTGTTGCAAAATCTACCAGTAAAATATAAAGCATTACAATGCTGGTTAAAAGAAGATCTTTTTACAATGTTTCGAATTGTTTATATAGGAGCGGCTGGAGAAGTTTGCCCAGATGGAGGTTTTAGACACAGGAAAGCCAATCTGGGAGGCGAGATTTGATATACAAGGTTGTGCTGATACAATAGATTACTATGGGGGACTCGCTGCCAGGATCTCAGGTTGGTGCAGGAATATGCTATATTTAGATTAAGTCAATGATTATCTGCGGAGAGTAAGAATTCTTTTGGTACTTTTTTTCTTGATGTCTATTTTTCTCATTATTTTTGTCATTATTAAGCTGTTCAATTCATGGCCCCCCTGGGGTGAGGTGGGGCCACAATAAGGGGATGAAAGTTTTTCATTGAAATATGATAAAAAAAAATCATTAGAAATCTTGAGAGCTGCTGGACAAGAAAAGATGAAATTTATAAAGCTTCCAGACATAAATTCTAAACTGTTCAAATCATTACCCCCCTTTGGGCCACAATCAAGTGATGAAAGCTTTACTTTGAAATATGGAGGTACCTCTCAATACCTCAGTGTCTGTGGGACAGTGGAAAAATGTCGAGTTCAAGAGTATGAGTTTTCAAGATTCTGGAATTTTTTTGTTGATAGTTTTTAAAATTAGTCTAACTGGATGTTATGCTTAGGTATAAAAGGGAAAGAATTTTGACCGAAGACTCACTTATAGCAATCGAGAACTTTGAGAGATCGAATTTTGAGCCATCAAGAGTTATCTGTACAAAGAAAAAATCGTTGAAAATCTTCTTCTCAAGAACCACTACACCAGAAAAGATGAAATTTATGTGAAAGCTTCCTGAGGTAGTGTAGTTTCTAAACTGTTCTACTCACGACCCCAGGGTAAGGTGGCATCACAATAGGTGATCAAAATTTCACATAGAACTATATTAAAGAAACTCAGGTGAGCATTGTGGTCGATCGACCTTTTGCTTAAAGTTAACAACAAGCCTAATATACTGTAAGTTTTTTTTTAATTTTGTTCAAATAATATTTTATTGTGAAGGTGACATTTAGAGACTGCATTTTTTACATATATAAAATTCATTTGTCAGGACTCAGGTGAGCACTGTAGGCCATGGACCTCTTGTTATACATGGAAAAGTTCACACACTGGTGCTGGGCACCCTTATCACTGTTTCTGTTTTTTCTTTTAGGTGAATTCCTACCTCTATCCAATGGAAGCTTTAGTTACACAGTCCGTGAGCCTTTGGGAGTGGTTGGGGGTATAGGGGCCTGGAATTATCCCCTCCAGATGGCCTCCTGGAAATCCAGCCCCGCCCTTGCCTGTGGTAACACCTTTGTGTTTAAACCTTCACCTTTCACCCCCCTGACAGCTGTCATGTTAGGAGAGGCCTATAAGGAGGCTGGGCTTCCTGATGGGTGCTATAATGTGATACAGGTGTGTACTTATGTTATACAGTAATCTATAAGGAGGTGGGGCTTCCTGATGGCTGCTTTAATGTGAAACAGGTGTGTATACATTAATCTATGGAGTAAAACAAGTCTGTGTTTTTGTGATGTGGAGTTAAGAGGAATCTTTTTTACTTGTTAATATTTTTAATGACTGTCTATGGAAATATGTTAGGTTGATTTATCTTATTAATGGTAGAGCAAAGCTGAAAATAGCTTAGGCAACAGTTTATCAGGAGTTTGACTGTGTCTATAATAGTCATAAAATAATTTTATACTGCTAATAATGGATGTATATGTATTATATTTAAGGACTGTATATACTGTAAAATTTGTTTAGTACAAATACGGATATAGCAAATTATGTACTGTATACAGTAAAACTTGTTTAGTAGGAACAAGGATATACATGTAGCAAAGTTTTTTGCAATCCCCAGAAAAATTCTTAACAATTTTAGTAAAATTTTGCGGATATAACAAACTCAGATTTATGTAATTTATGGTTATAGCCAATTGATTTTGTGTCCCCTAGAAGTTAAAAATTACAAATTTTACATCTTTTACGGAGAATTTTCAAAGATCTACATTTTCAAAATATTGAACTGACATTTTTTTTGTAAGAATTTACATTTGAAACTCAATTCATCTGAAAACTATTGAACTCTAAGGTTGATTTTGTATTTCGTACTATCTAAATACATTTGGTAGTCATACTTGAATGAAAAAATCTATATTGTGAATTGGTTATGCATACTTTTCAGAATTCCTTATACGGATATAACGAATTACGGATATAGCAAAGCAAACTGACAGGTTCCCAGAACTTTGCTATAACCGAGTTTTACTGTAATGTTATTTATGTTAATACATGTCAGTTGTGTGTATGTGTGTTATTTAGGGAGAGACTGAGACAGGACGGCTGATAACCTCTCACCCTGATGTTGCTAAGGTGTCATTCACTGGCAGCGTGCCAACTGGCAGCAAAATTATGGAGACCTGTGCCAAGGTAACAGTCCAGTAAATTTTAATTATGTCCTCAAATATACATGCAGCTGAAAACAGATTGAATATTTGATCATATATGTAGTTGTTATTCAACTTTACAGAAAGTATTATAAAATAATTAATTGCATATTGTATGATGAGTCTTTCAGTATTATACATTTAAAACTGGTACCCATGTTTTTAGGATATAAAACATGTGACATTGGAATTGGGAGGGAAATCCCCTTGTATTATATTTGAGGATGCTGATCTTCACAATGCAGTGTCTGGAGCTATGCTAGCCAACTTCCTAACACAGGGACAAGTAAGTCAAATCTTAAGTCTTAACACAGGGACAAGTAAGTCAAATCTTAAGTTCTAGAAATCTTAACTCAGGGACAAGTAAGTCACATCTTGAGTTCTAGCAATCTTAACACAGGGACAAGTAACATCCTGAGTTCTAGAAATCTTAACACAGGGACAAATAAGTCAAATCTTAAGTCATAACTCACAAGTAAGTCAAATCTTAGGTCTAAGCATACAAGTAAATGAAATCTTAAGTCTTAGCACACAAGTAAGTCAAATTTTAAGTAGTACACAAGTAAATTAAATCTTAAGTCTTAGTACACAAGTAAATCAAATCTTAAGTCTTAGCACACACGTAAGTCAAATCTTAAGTCTTAGCACGCCAGTAAGTCAAATCTTAAGTCTTACAGTATGTAGTACACAAGTAAATCAAATATTAAGTCTTAACACAGGGGCAAATCAAATCTTAAATCTTAACAAAGGAACATGTTAAATCTAAGTTTTAACAAAGGAACAAGTAAAATCTTAACTCTGAACTATGGAACTTAGGAACAAGACAAATTTTAAGTTGTAACAAATGAACAAGTCTAATCTAAAGTGTTAATAAATAAACAAGTCAAATCTTAAGTCTTAATGCAGGGAAAATTCAGTTTCATCTCTTTATGACTGATGTCTAATTTATAAAAGGCAAAGTAATGTGTTCTCATTTTGGCAATGTCATGTTTCATCAATCTGATTAAGAGAATGATTCTTATTAGGTTTGTTCGAATGGAACTCGAGTGTTTGTTCACAAGAGCATTATGGGACCATTTCTGGCAGGGCTGGTAGAGAGGACCAAACGCATGAAGATTGGAAACCCATTCCATGATGATACAACAGTTGGAGCCACAATTAGTAAGGAGCAATTCGACAAAGTCATGCATTACATCGAAATCGCCAAAAAAGAGGTAAGTGAACAAGTTTCTGCAAACGAGAAAATATTATCATTGGGGGTAATTTGAAGTGAAAAATTTACAAAACTTAACCTAAACACAATATGGTCTTCCAATCCTAGTATCATGTATAGTAGACAAAAATTGCAAAAAGTACCTTTTGCAGTAGTTTCCATGTTTACAGTGCACTCAAGAGTAACAGGCTTATAAATGAAGGTATCCTTTTGAAATCCATTAAAATCCATGTGGACTAGCTTTAAGATAGCAAAAATCAAGATGAATTCGTTTTATAAAATTTACGGAAAATATCAATGACTTCAAATAATTTCATATAGTACATGTCCAAGGTCATTCAAATATGTCTCTATTTGTTTTACCATATTTTGTTTGAAAACAACATAACTTAAAAAAAGGATAGTAAAAACACTCACATAGTACAACTACAAAGTTCAGAAAATTTTACTTACAGTGAAAACTATCTAATCTGACACCTTTTCAATCCGTTTCATTGTGAATTTTGACCTTTATTTTCAGTCTCATTTCACTGTTTTCAATGTTTTTACATTGTGTAATCCAACATCCTGTCTATTCCAAACAAAATTTGTCTCCCAAGTCCATGTCGGATTAGACAGGTTTCACTGTATCTTTGTACATAAGCATTTGTCTCCAAGCCCATGTCGGATTAGACAGGTTTCACTGTACCTTTGTACATAAGCATTTGTATCCAAGTCCATGTCAGATTAGAGAGGTTTCACTGTATCTTTGTACATAAGCATTTGTCTCCAAGTCCATGTCAGATTAGACAGGTTTCACTGTATCTTTGTAAATAAGCTTAGTATCTCTTTTGACCCTAGGGTGCCTCTGTGGTGTGTGGGGGTGAGAGAGTACATCCTGACCCTAGTTTGGGGGGATACTTTGTCAGTCCCTGTATTCTAGTCAACTGCGAGGATCACATGACTGTGGTCAAGGACGAGGTGTTTGGATCCGTCATGTCCATTTTGACTTTTGACACAGAGGAAGAAGTCATCAGTCGTGCCAACAATACAGAGTTTGGACTAGCTGCTGGAATCTTTACAAAGTTGGTTTATTTCAGTATTTTGAAAAACATTTCAATGAACATGATTTTTTAATTGAGTTGAAAGTTCAACTTTACATTTATTAAGAGGGCATCCTGAACTGTACCAGTTAGGAAAGGTGTTAACCTTTGCAAAATATATATCCCTAATTTTGTCCTCTTTTAAGCAGTTGACCTTAAAGATATAGGTAAATGATGGCAAGGTGCAAAATTAATAGTAGAATGGTAAACAGAATCTACAGAAAATACATCCAAGATGAGTATTTTATATTTCACTTGTATGAAAAGTGAATACATTCTTTTGATTCAACAAGATTTATTTCTCTTTCAGCAACCTTCAGAGAGCATACCGTGTCGCCTCAGCCCTAGAGGCAGGGTCTCTATACATTAACAACTACAATGTATACCCTGTAGGGGTACCCTTCGGAGGATACAAGAAATCAGGATTAGGTCGGGAAAATGGCCCTGACACGTTGGACTACTACACACAGGTTAAGTCTGTCTATGTGGAAATGGGTGACGTGGATGCTCCATTTTAAAATTGTATCAAGAGTTTTGAGTCATGGTTTACTATGTCCAGGTAATGTTGTACATTCAGAAATGTACATTCAGAAAAGAAAATACATATGTCACACAGATTTCAAGATTGAAAGTGTGCATGATGTGTTATTATGTATTGATCTTTATTTTCAAAATTAATTGGAAGGATATATTTTTTATTCAACTTCATAATGTTTAACACATTTATAATATTGATCAATTTGAAATATGATATATATGTAATTGTAGTATGTTATATTGTTGTGAAAATGAAATGTAACCTAAAACAACCAGTTAACAACAATCTAGTGTCCATGATGAGAATTTGCATGCTTCCCCTTAATCCCCTTATTGTTTATTCCTATACAAGTCTTTATGTTGAACAGTCTGTAAGAAGAAGTTATAGTTAAATTCTTTAACTTTTATTGTTATAATAATTATCTTAATACAAGGTTGTCCCTAAGACCAGGGGACCAGGGAATTTCCCTCCTCATAATGATGTAATCCCCTGGTTATTCTGGTATTCATCCCTCAAGCAATTCCTCGAGCATGCGGATTTTTGGTAATCATCTAGGGCATTGTCCTATCATATACAATTATTTCCATTTTATGTAGTTTGAACAATTTTAAATTGCACCCCCTGTTTTTTTTTTTTTTACTAGAATACACTTGATAAGACCCTTTCAAGTGACTAAATTTATTTACCAAGAGAAGATCTTATATAATGTAAACGAACAGTGATCAATCTTTAATCCAGTTCATTATTTCAACTTCTTGAAGAACTCAGTTTTAATTCCACATATGTATGGTAATCAAAAGATGAAATTTATTAAAATCACCTTTCAATTTTAAAATCTTTTAACATTCTAGTCAATGGAAAAGAGTTTTTGATTTACCATAATTATACTGGATTCCAAAACTTATTTTTGAAATCCTTACAAAGATATATTGCAGGGTCCAGTTAATGTTCAACCAAGCCCATATCCTTACTCCTAAATATTAACTGCTGTGAAGGAGAAACTTCAGACGTATTGTGCTACAACATACTCAAGAAGTGTTGTAAATCAATTCATATTCTAAAAAAACTCAAAAAACCTTAAGTTTCTTAAAACATGAACATATGATTTTTTTTATGCTTTATACGACCATTCCTCATGATAAATTAAAGAACAGCTTTCAGCTTGTAAAATGCAGACACTGGAAATAACGAATATCGGTTATAGGATCTAAATCAATGTCCCCATCATCTTGTTATACCCGGAGTCCACTGTATGTTGAAGAAACAAAAATCTGTAAGCAAATACATGTATGTTAATCTTTTATGGATTTTAGTTATTGGTCCCCCCCCCCCCCCCATTTTGAGTCCAAGTATGCAAGACCTACATTTATTTCAGGACAAAATTTTATTTTTTGACTTAGGTATTGTGTGAAAGTATTCTTTTTCGGCAATGGTTGCTTGTACAAATATCTCTTACGTTAACTCTGTGCATGCACGTTCATGCATTTGTATCATTTTTTTTTATTTCTATACATACATGCTTTGATTATGTATTGAACCAATAGTCTGTTTGATTTTCTATAATTTTATGTTTAAGATTTGCTCTTGATATTTCTGAAGAAATATGCACAATACATGTACATCACTATTAATCATACAAAAATGTTTCAAAGCATTCAAAACATAACAGTGCTTTATACTATACTTAAATTGTTCAGCACATTGTATCACAAGTCACTAGTACCCAGTAAACAGTCCAGTACATTGCACTGCGTCTTTCATCACTGCACATACATGTACCAGTTGATCTGGTCTTCCAACAATCTGTTGGAATTCCCATGGATATTACATTTAATTGCGACCGGTTATTTGCAGATTTGTTTTCGTATTCATTGGAAGTATAGTTTATGGGCTTACCCCTGCATTGTATCTGGTCCCACTCAGTTGTTTTTACAGGTCCCTGTTTGCTCTGCTCAAAATTTGAATTGTTTCAATGAATCTTTGATCATGAGTACCTTTGCTATCTTCATATACATGTAGCTCCATGATGGGAAGGTCGTGTGTTCAAATCACGGCCGCGACTGACTTAAGTCGATAAAAATTAGGTAGCCACTGTTCCTTCGGCAAACGGTCAACACCTTGAAATGAAAATTGCGGGTCTTTCGGATGAAACCTTAAAATCAGAGGCCCCGTGTCACGGTAGGCGTTGGCACGATAAAGATGTGAAATCGTGTCCAAGCCAAAATTAGGAACTCTTGGAATTATTTCAATATCAGTATATATCACTTTTCGTAAGATAAAGATGTGTCCTGGGTGCAAGGTGATATATGAAATATCAAGGTCATATTTTAAAGTCAATATCAAAATAATTGTGCTTAGGGTAGATGAACTCAGCCCTGAAAGTTATCCGGTACACAATGGGAATGTATCAAGAAACTTATACGTCTTAATAATTTTCTTCTAGTCTGCATTTTGCAAATAATTCGAAATATGTGTTCATTAAGAACTTGAATTGATGTCTGTTATCAATTTAATTTTAGTTTCAATGTAAACATTAAAACAAATAAATAAACAATCATTATGGAAAAATATGTAATTGAAAGAAGCAAGACTAGTATATTGGTGCTATGACAAGTCAAGAAAAAACTTAATAATTTTAGATAATAATTGCATAGAACATTTGTAAAAGTTTGCTGAAAACATAAGATTGTTTTCAACATTTTAAACGTTGAATAAGAGAAGAAGCCTGTGGCGGTACATGTTGTCGTTCTGTACATATTATCGTCGGCGACAATATGTACCTACTCTCTCTGCACATATTGTTGTCCATTGGTACATATTGTCTCCGGCGACAATATGTACCGAGACTACCCTTTTTCCTCATGCATAATGGTCGACAAAATGTACAGTCACGTATCGACACAATTTGTCGTCGGCGACAATATGTACTTTAAACATTTGCACATTTTGTCGCTTACATGTTGTGTTGAAGAATATTTACTGGGGTCGATCGATCGATCGAGAGAGATGATACTTACATGTATATATATATAGCCTATAATTTAAAAAAAAAATGCTTATAAACAAAGTTGCACACTGAAAAATATACACTGTATATCATCAAAGATCACGATTTTATGCACTTTCCAATCATTGTTATCAAAAAGTAACCATGATTACACGACTTTTTTCAGAGGAATCAGTTAAATTACAATTACATGTATTCTGAAATTGCTGAATGATTACTCATGATTACATTGCAAACTGTAATCGATTACAGCTGATTACGATTACCCCATGCATCCCTGCTTCATAATATTAAAAGTAAAAAAAAAAAAGAGGAACGTTAAAACAAGCAAACAAAAACAAAATCAATTTTGTTCATATCATGACTCCCAGGGGTAGGGTGGGGCCACAATGGAATATATACAGAACATCTTAAAAATTCTTCACAAGAACCAAAGGCGGGTCTAGCACAGCCCCCCCCCCCCCCTCCCCCATTGAATTACTGTATAGCGGATTTCTTTTGCGGGTGTAAAATTTGGCGTGTTGCTTGCTAAAAGATATTCAAATTATTTTGGCGGACACAGAGTTCAGTGACATTGCAGAGCGAGGAAGGTCATCTTCCAGACGAGTTTTCAGGCAGAGTTGCAAATTTAGCGATTAAAGTGTTAGACAACATGTACTACCAGCAAACCGCAAAAATTAGCACCCCGCTAAAAAATCCTGCTTTACGGTAATTGTTTTTTTGTTTTTGTTTTTTGTTTGTAAATTCTGTTTGTTTAACTTGTATATACTCTCAATTTAGTCCACTGGTAAAATTTCATAATAAAAAATTTACTCAACATATATAGTAACTCACAACAAACCAATTAAAATCACAAAACTACCAAAAAAATCTTTAAGCAACAATATCTGTTGATCGACAATATGTGCAGTGAGGGTAAGGCACATAATGTCGCTAGTAACAATATGTACACGTGTAGCTTTTCAGCCGGCGACTACATGTACCGATGGACGACAATATGTACAAAACGACAATATGTACCATCACAGAGTGTTTTATCGTGCCAACTCCTACCGTGACACGGAACTTCGGATTTTAAGGTTGCACCCGAAAGACTATTGACTGCAAATTCTAATGCTTGGAGCTTGGCGAAGGAACAGGCACAATCTATGATTACACCTTGGGTTTGACGTGTCGCAGCAAACGGGAATCGAACCAGGGCCTACCGGTCAGTTATCATTTGATTGATTGTATGTTGTTTTACGTCCCATTAGAGAATTTTTCACTCACATAGAGACGTCACAATATACCGGTGAAGGGCTTCAGATTTTGACCTTTAATCGGCACTCAGGGCCATTCAGCAGTGAGGGTTCTTTATCGTACCAACGCCTGCCATGACATGGGGCCTCGATTTCTAGAGTCTCATCCGAAGGACCCGCAACTTTCACTTCAAAGTGCCGAGCGCTTGGCGAAGGAACAGTTACTACCTATTTTTTATCGACTTGGGTCAGTCGCGGCCGTGATTCGAACACACGACCTTCCGATCACGGAGAGTTATCATTTGAATGACACGGGTATTATTAGGATTAATTGAAATGGTCTTTTTAGCAAGTACATTTTCTTCGAAATTGTGTTTTTATTTTTCTAAATTTATATTGTATTTTCACATATACAAGCTGTATATACAATGAACCGTCACAATCACGCTGGATGAAATAGCATACTAGACACGTCAATGTGATTAACAAACCAATTAAAATCACAAAACTACAAAAAAAAAAAAAAAAAAAAAAAACAACTTTAAGCAACAATATCTGTGGGGCGACAATATGTGCAGTGAGGGTAAGGCACATTTTGTCGCCAGTGACAATAAGCACACGTGTAGCTTTTCAGCCGGTGGCTATATGTACCGATGGACGCCAATATGCGCAGTGAGAGTAGGTACATATTGTCGCCGAAGGTCAAGAACGTATCAGTATAATAATTTTGATAATTATTTACTAGTAAATAGTTATGTCCTTTGGTCATTGTCTTTAAGGGAAACCCCACGTATCCCACAGTGGCTTTTTCAACTTCTAATTTGTTGCATCTGTCAGTTGCCCTAAAAATATTTATTGTCAGTTAACGAAAATATCTATTATATTATATATCATACTCGTTGAAAACACTGGCAGTGTTATCAGGGGCGTAGCTAGAACTTTGATGAAGTAAAGGCACAAATTACCCTGTGTGCGGCGAGGGGTCTGGGGCCGCCTAAGGCCCCCAGCGGGTCCAGGGCAGCACCCTGGTAAGGGGTTCAGACGGAAAATAGTTTTCACGATTTTGTGACCCCCGGGTAACAAATTCTGGGCGTTTAAAATGCAAAATCCTAGAATGAAATTTCATATTAAGAAGAAAACCTAAGAGAGTGCAGTCCAACTTTTTAATCAGAAATCTTTAGAAGAGTTTTCTTATTTTTTTATGGCGCAGTGGTTAGAGCGTTAGCTCTAGAGTCGCGGAGTAAGGTCGCGGGTTCAAATCTCACTGTGGGACGTGGAGACCGGTCCATCGGATGAGACCGTAAAAACCGAGGTCCCGTGTCACAGTAGGTGCTGTTACGAAAAAGACCCCTCACTGCTCAATGGCCCTGAATGCCAAGTATAGGTCAAAATTTGCAGCTCTCCACAGGCAAGTGATGGCGTCTCCATATGAGTGAAAAATTCTCGAAAAATTCTCGAGAGAGACGTTAAACAGCAAACAAACATATTAAAAAAGTATTTTAAAAAATGAGACACAAAACAATGTTTTCCAATAAATAATAAACAAATATTTTTTGGGAAAAAAGCTAGTCTACTCACAAAGAAGTGGTAAATTCGGTTGGACAGCCATAAAAAAGTTAAATCAAATTCAATAAAATGAAACTTAATACCACACATATCTTGTGAGCGTCGGGGGGGGGGGGGTATATCTATATTTAATTACATGTACTTGCATATAGAAATTTTACAAATCATTTTATAAGAAGTCCTACAGTGAAACAGCCTAACTATTGCAGGTTATTGTTACTTTGAACAGATAGGTGGTTATTTATATATTCATGATCTCTCTGTCAATGGCGAAATCGATATTTAGTCATTTCTTTTCTTTCTTTTTACAGTTTTGTTTCTAATTTTTTCTGAAAAAAATTAAGTGTAGGCACGTGCCTTAAGTGCCTAATGGCAGCTACGTCACTGGCTATACTACGTAAAACGGGTCATAATCAGTACATGTTGAGGTATTTCGTGAATCAGGAAAGACTAGCGTAATCAGAGAGAGAGAAAGAGAGATTATTTGAAAATAATCCTTACAATTTATCTTCTGTTGATTATATTTTGTTCATTTATTTTTAGAAATTAAAAACGCTTTTTCACCAGTAAGTAAATGATGAAGAAGAAATTACTAATTACCATTTAGTGTGATGTTTCATAATTGCAAACTATGCACTAAATGCTCTTTAGACAGAACAAACGATCGATACATATTGCTTTTATTGATTTTATTTGACAATTAAATATCAGAAAAACACGTATTTACCATTTGTAATCAAGATTTCTTTTAAATGAAGAATAACTCTTTCATGAAAAAATATAGAGAGCATTGGGTTAAAAAAAAGATGATGTACAACTTGTAAGAAACCTCCATAACGTTTACATGAAGAAAACGAAACTTTATATTGCATTACGTGCAGTTTTAATTTCATCGAAAATTATACATGAAACATATTTATATTTATAGTAATTCTGTAACAAAAATCATTGGCACTATTTATTACATTGAACATATTCGTAAACAAGAAAATATTTTGCAGTTAATTAAAAGGTTTTTCAAATAAAGTTTTTACTTTACTTGCGCAACATAAATTAGGAGAAGACACTTAAGGTAGTCCGATCCTCAGGTTCTGAAAACCAGGCACTGAATAATTGAAAATGCTCACAAAAATGTCTCTGAATTCTCAAAGTAACGTGAATTTACCCACAGCAATTGTTCCAACTTCATTATTCAAGTTAATCATAGTATATAGGAAAAATTAGTAAATTTCAAATAAAATTTCAGGAAATGCGAATAGAGACACCTACTATGCATTTTCTAATTGGAAATTGATCAACAAAAATATTTTAGGATTAAAAACTATAGGTATCCAGACATTTGAAGAAAATTGCATGATTTTTCTACTTATACAGTGCTTTAGTTTCTTCTGTGTACTTCAGTTATTTATAATGCATAGTTTATAAAGTGCTTCATATCATTGTAAAACATCACAAATCATTTCTAATTTCATATCATGCTAATTAGCGTTGGTATCTACGGCTAAATTAAAGGAAAAGTCAATTTCTTTAAATCTGTATTTTTAACATACCTTTATAGGGTAAAAATATCAACGTTTTAAAAGACTGTTTCTAAAACTTCAAAGAACCTTGAATCACATTGAGATGCATAAAATGAAAATTGTTGCATGACAAGATTTCATATTTAAGCTTCATGTTGAGACTTTTTGAATTAAATAATAAATTAAAGAGTTGTCCTTCCTAGCTGAGGATCGGATATCCTTAAAGCAAAACATGTATTCTTTAATACAGTATCAAATTTACAGAGATTATCAAATTCAAGGTATTAAGAAGCAAACCAGATAAATCGGAGTAATAATGCAATTAAATATATGTAAATTTGTTATTTTAATTTTTTTTTTATAAAGCAATTGAATATTTTATGTCTATAGATTTAATAGAATATTTTCCTGTTAACTGTGAATGTTTCTTTTTATTTACAAGTATCACAAAAAATGTAGCATATCTATAATATATATGAAGAAAAATGTTAATCTATTTTAAAACAATGCAGAAAGAAAGAATTAAAAAATAACTAAAATACAGTACCTACACTTCATAGAATATAAAAACAAAATACTTAATAAGTCTGCTAGTACGTAAAATCAAAAGTTGGCATAGACTGTATCGCTCTGCAGATATTCCGCTACGAGTTCATGGCAGAATTGATATTCCTCCTAAATAAATAAGAAAATGAAAATTCTTAGTGATTAAGCTATTACTATATTTTTTGAGATCAAATGGCAAATTATCATTGATTGATTTATTAATTTATGTTGTTTTACGTCCCATTCGAGAAATTTTTTAGAAACGTCACCATATACCGGTGAAGGCTCAAACTTTTGACCTTTACTCCGCACCCAGTGCCATTGAGCAGTGAGGGTTCTTTTTGTGCCATCGCCTACCGTGACAGGGGACTTCGGATTTTAAGGTTTCACCAAAAAGACCCTTGACTTTCACTTTTAATGTTGGGTGGTTAGCGAAAGAACGGTAACTACCTATGTTTACGTTAGGTTTGACGCGGAGCGGAGAACGAGAATCGAACCCAGGCTTCCCGATAAGTTATCATTGAAATGACACGGGTATTGTATGGACGGATATTTTTGAATACACAAAACTGTCTATATTTCGCAAGTACCCACTCCTTGATATTGTGCTTATATTTTTCTGAAGTTTTCACATATACAAGTTTTTCCTTACACATTTTAAAAACACTTCGATGATAGACTTAAGAATTACTGTGATATAGATTGCAACCAAAAGTATTGATTTTATAATAGGACAACTGCGTCACTGAGCAATAAGATTCCATAAGATATAAATATATACTAACATATTTTTTAAAAAAAAGTATATAGTCTTAATTGTTTGTTTGTTTGTATGTTGTTTAACGTCCCTCTCGGGAATTTTTCACTCATATGGAGACGCCACCACTTGCCTGTGGAGAGCTGCAAATTTTGTCCTATACTCGACTTTTACGGCCATTGAGCAGTGAGGGATCTTTTTCGTGCAAGCACCTACTGCGACACGGGACCTCGGTTTATACGGTCTCATCCGAAGGACCGGTCTCCACGTCCCACAGTGGGATTCGAACCCGCGACGTAAGGATCAACACCTTACTTCGCGACTCTAGAGCAGAAGCTCTAACCACTGCGCCATGCGGGCGACTAGATCCAATGAAATATGGAGATAACGAACCGTGTTCAAGCTCAAAGGGCATTAAACAGTACAAATCGGGAACAGAGCAAACACGGACATCTAAAACATCGGACGAGTGTGTAAATAATGGCCGTACAATTAGTATGAAAACCGTCGGTCAGCATTTGACTTAATGTTAGGTTGCATTTAATGACAAAGTCATTGTATCGACCAAAACTTGCGAAATGATGACTTCACACGAGTGTTGATATCCCTGTTTTATCAACTTGTTTGTCAATAGCATGCCTTGCCCTAGAAATTGTTCACACGCACAGCATGCTCTTGCGTATCGAATCAACTGGGAGACAAAAACTACGACATATTTCTACCCCTTATCGTATTATGTAGCACAGAAATAGATGAATTCATAATGGTATTCCAGTACATATATCATATAATGAAAGCAAATGACATCAGTCAATCGAATGTTTGATTTCCAGGAGTAAAGGAAAAATGTGTTTAAATATGGCACTATTTTTGTTGGTTTTAACCCCATCCCTCAATAGGGGGGGGGGGGGGTAATGAAATTAACAATTTGAATTCCACTTTATGGATGCTTTAAGTCAAACTTGGTTGAAGATGGTAAAGCAGTTCCAGAGAAGATGCTTAAAAAATTTACGACCAACGCACGACGCACACCCGCACAACGGACGAAGAAGATAAAAAGATAATAATAGGTCATTTGAGTGACTCAGTTGACCTAGAAATAAATAATATATAATGAAAATGATAAGAATAAGAAAAAAATATTATCATTAGATTATTAGACAACAGATTCTTACGAAAGTGGAGATAAATTCCGGTCTACGAATTTGTATCAGACGTGCAGCTGTAAAGATATCAACTTCCTTGTCGAGGATAAGTTGCTCAATTGCATTGTAGGCGACACAGAATGGACCACAACGCTGGGCCCCGTCTCTACAATGTAAATTAAGTTTAAATTTGACTACAATAAATAGCATGTGAAACATAATCATTTGTTTTATTTTCTTAGGAGGCAATGATATCGTTACAATCAAATCTATAAAGACTATTCAGTAGAGATGGCTGTTGTGTCCTATCCAAAAATATTATAGTTACATGTAACTACAGTATTCTATCTCAGATTTTTTTACCAGAGTAAAAGGTTTTGACTTTGGTAATTCAAAGTAATTTTACTTTGGATTTCAGATTGTTATATTTTTGTGTTCAATTCATACATTTACATTTTTTATATTAAAGGGAACTATCACTTGTATATTCACATATTATTTCCAAATTTCATTTCACTGTTATCGAGTTTACGAGATTTTAATTTTTGAAATCTCAAAAAAAAAAAAAAAAAAAAAAAAAAAAAAAAAAAAATCAGAGTAAAGTTTCATAGTAAATCAAAATATCGAAGATTTTTCTATAGTTAATCATAGTAAGGTATAATATTTACGGTAGTAAATTTTTGTTAGGATTAGTAAGGTAATATATATTTATATGCGATCAAATTAGTTAGCTAATTATTTAGCTATTATTAATAATAAAAAAAAACGATTCAATTGGACTGGCACATTATGAAAAACGAATATCTTAATTATAGTGGATAAAAAATTTCACAAGCTTCCAAATAATGATCCAAATATGACTTTTATAACCAGAGAATACTGATATATATAATCACATTTGCTTGCTAAAGATTTATTCAATATTAAAATTAAACAAAAAAATTCAAATATTTAAGGTTTTTTTTTATATTTATAATTTTATTTTTAATACACAAAACTTGTGCTTTTTGCTATTTATAGGAGACTACAATTCCTGAAAATAACACGCGGGTTTTCATAGGAAGAGGAACTATTTTTTCCTTATAAAAGACAACTATTTTATTAAACTGGGATATGCTTGGACCAAATTTTATAGGTTAACCGAATGCACCTTGAAAGGACCAGTGTTCTATTGATCGAGTGCGTCGTCTCTTCCAGTTTTGTTTCCTTGATTGCATCAAGAACTTTCCTACAACTGGCAGTTAAAGCTTCGCCTTTCCAGAAGTTGCATTCCAAAACCGAAGTTCGGATGTCATGGAATCCCTAAAAGAATGTTTACGTATAGTTTTGTTTACTTAATATTCAATTCTGAAATTAATCATATTTTCAAAACAAGAAACAAGAGAGAGAGAGAGAGAGAGAGAGAGAGAGAGAGAGAGAGAGAGAGAGAGAGAGAGATGTCAATAAATATTATATCACCTTTCCTTGAATAATGATATTAGTTTTGGTGACTACATCTGAGGGATGACACTTAGTCATTTTTACTGTAAACTTTCCTACAACTTTGCTATCATTCTTTGACGGAAACCATACCTTTGTCTAAGATAAAAATAAAGCTATTAATAATTGAAAAGCAATTAAATCAATCGCATATCTTTGCAAGAAACTTATATTCATACTGAGGGTATATCTTCAAGAGGCCCCAGAAAAATAACAGTGCCAGCTCTGCTTTCTTTCACAAGATACAGGAAGTCTTCACACTGGTTTTCAAGTGGGTACTGGGCACTGATAAGTCCATCCGGTCTCGTGAACGACTTTAATGAAATCAAAACAATAATGAATTCAAGTTTACATGTGATATACATGTATTGTAATAAAAAAAATTGTCTTCGTATATTTGCATCAACATAAGAATTCATATTTGCAAACCTGAAGAATAACAGCGTTGTAATAAACTGGTCTATCATTGTCAGAAAGAACACAGCATCTATATTTCTCAACTATATGGAGATAATTTTCAAAGCAATTAAATTTTGACCACTCCGGGTAAGATTTAATATTTAGACATTAATATGATATAATGTATAATAAACCGTAAGTTTTTCTACACACTTGTTATTGTATGGAACAAAAAGAGAGACGAAATCTTTTCTTACTTGGCATAACATCCGGTGTAAAATTAGATGCTGCATTGTTATGCGCTGATTTTTCATTTGTATCGTATTGTGTTTTAAGTGAAATTAGCTCCTGTTGAAAGAAAATATCTAATAAGATGGTTTTTCGATTTCTATTCAATTTACAATGCTCATTTCAGCTGAACCCCTACGTTTAAAAATAGGTTGCCTAAAAATTACCATTAAAAAAAATCTTTCATGTGATGCATTTAGTTTTTCCCAGACATTATTACATAGCTTTGTAAAATTGAAAATGAACAAAACCTTTATCACTGTACCGCAAAAGAAGCAAAGAAAAAATCCTAAGTCTATACATACACACATGACTTGACCTGATAATGATACAATGAAAACATTTTCCGTAATAATTTATGATAATTAACAGTAAATATTTAAAAACCTTAAAATTATCAGTCTCTTGCGCTTTCTTGATTCCATCTTCTTCATATGTACTATTTAATGCCTGGTTCTGCGACAGGAATGATTTAGCAGTAACTGGACGCAGATGTCCTCTGAATGATTCATATAAAGCAGTGTAAATCATTTTGTATTGATCCTACAACGAGATGATTTCAACTGTACAAAAGATTCGTATGGACAATAATGAGAGAATGATATATTTAATTATATATGGAAAGCACAAAAAATTCTGAGGAATAAAGCGTTTTCTCCCTCAAAATATATTCATGATTATAATCATGATATTTCTGAGTTTTTATATCTAAAGTAATAAAATTTATCAAATTAATATTCACTTGCCTCTCCTTGTACCATGTTCATTCTATCATGGCGCATTTGTGTGACATATTCCGACACATTAACAGACCCTGAACTCAAACCGTCCCGGTAGAGGGCGTCCAAAGCTATGAAGGTACCCGTTCTACCCAAGCCAGCACTAAAATATTACAAGGCTGTTTGAAATCAAAGACAACTGTTTTTTTTTTTTTGTTTTTTTTTAAAAAAATAAGAATGGACCTTGTAAATTTTCCTTTCTTGTAATTGGTCTTTTGAGGACTTGCTTTATTATAAAACCACAATTCTACACACTTGTAAGTATAACGAAGTGGATATTGCTTGAGTTTCTCATTGACAGCATATATGTAGTCTTTGGAAACTAAGTTTTCCAACAATCTTTTGGAATTTCCATGTGTACTTATTGTGCTCCGTATTGACCTCTTTTACTATTCTTATGAAGCACACTTTATTCACAGTCTTTTACATGAAAAGAAGAAATTTCTTGCTTTGGCCTTCGAATTGACATTCAAATATATCGACTACGTGTTATCAATTTATAAACAATAATCATTATCATAACTACTTTGATTTTATATATCCCTTTGAACTCAAAATAAAAGACATTACAGAATCTGACACATCGGTTTCATATTTGAATGTTTAACTGATATTGATGGCAAACTAAAAACTTAAGTTTATGATAAACGTGATGACTCAAGCTTTTCTTCCGTCTATTTCCCTTGTTAATAGCAACATAGAAATATCCCCCTGCAAATGTTTATGTCTTAAAGTTGATTCGATATGCAACAGCATGCTACACGCACGAATAGTTTTTGAAACGAGGCAGGATACGGACAAACAAGTTGATGATAAACGGGTATCTACAATCTCCTTGGAACTAAACATTTCGCAAATTCAATAGTCAATACAATGATCTTGTTTGCAAACAGAAGATGTCCTTATGTGAAATGTTGATTGACGTCTTTTATATGCAATTGTTTAATACTGAATTGACTGCGGATTTCCCCATTTACCCATTCACAGCAAAGAGCACAAGGCGGATGTAGCCGGTCTATGGGGTGTTAACTTCTCCATGGCACCTGATCTCACCTAAGATAATTTTTGAGCTCCGTGTTTGCTCTGTTCGCAGTTTGTAATGTTTATAATTTTCTTTTGGGCCGATTACTCCTTATCTTTATAATTCATTAACTACATGTAAACAGTTGTATACATTTATCTTTTTTTTTTTTTACAAAAAGGCTTTAAGAAAGACACTGATTTCGCAAAAATTTGAAACTCATATATCTCAGAAATGCCTCTTAAATTAACTATTCTCCGCAGTCAGACCGATACAATTGTGGAAAATCTTATATACAATTCATAGCAAGTTATGTTAAATTCGGGGAGTAATTCATGTGCAATGAACACCATTCTGTCTTTTTTCAGATTTTTCTGACCTGCAGTGGACCACCATTTTATCTTTATCTGAAGACTTCGGAAAAGCTCGCATAACATGCCGGTGGAACACGACAAGATTTATAGCTTCAGGAACACCACGGTCTGGCCATTGGGTGTAATGAAACATCCATACTTCTTGTTCTTGTTCCTCCTTACCCTAAATGAGATGAAGATCTGAATGGAAACGAAGAGAGAGAGAGAGAGAGAGAGAGAGAGAGAGAGAGAGAGAGAGAGAGAGCATCACTTAGTTAAAAACATTTTAGAAAGGTTGACATGGAAAATTAGCATTTTAATTTAGCAAACTTTGAAGGTCATTTTTCTAATCCTGTCATCTTACAATCGTATCTTGTAATCTCAGATGTCTTTTAATGTAATTTGAGTATTCCTTTTCCTCTTGGTTCCGAATAGCAAAATTTCCACTTTGGATTTTATCATTGCAATTTGGCCAATATTGTGCACACTTTCCCTAAAGAAAAAATGCTTTTAAACAAACATATTCAAAAGGTAACTCAAGTAAACCCGTGTTGTAAAGAAAAGAAATAAATTTATTTGTAATTTTTTTTATGCATAATAAATGTTCGTTTACCTGCTTTCCTTCTTTCAGATTCGTCAGGCATACAATAACTTTGACTGATTCCTGCCAAATCATTGACCAAAAATCAGACACTGTTTCCCTTTTTGGACCTAATGAAATACACCTTCATATAACAATATGGTTCACATTGTGTATTTTACCCTAAATCATTATACACGAGTAACTCAATTAAAAATTGTATCCAAGAAGTTGAAAATGTATAGAATATACTAATGCATTTTAATATAAGGATTTATCGTAAGATATTATTGTGAAAACTGGTTAAGAAGGACAGAAAAAACAATTTCATAAATTACATTAGGGATATATTTGACTATATTTAGATTCCAATTTTTAAAATGTAGATGTTTACCATTAGAATAAATAAACGACTAGTACCTTGAGTAGCTATGTATCTCTGCTCCCCTGATATATCCTTTGATAAAATATAATTAAAAAACACAATTAACAGGTCAACAAAGTATTATTTAAAAATTGTGGCTTAGCTTAAAGAAATCTTGAAACCTCCTAAGATGTATCTAAGCATGAAATTAACAAATGAAAGCATGCATTTTTAAACTAAAAGTATCATCTTTATGCGAGGTGACTGTTTACGAAATTTTACCTTTGATTAGATGCAAAAAATTATATTTTGTAAATTAATTAGAATACTTAACCAACATATGTACATTCAAGTTAATATATTTTTCATTAAATAGTTAATTTATTTTACATTTAGGTTAAAAGGTTTTTCTTTGAATATCGAGGAAAATAAAACAAGAATTTTTTTAAAAACCTTAATATAGTTGGCGTTTATGTAATCAGATCTCTGGTTTGCCATTTGTAGCTTAACTCGGGAATGGTCATCTGTTACGAAAAAAAAAAAAAACAAAGAATAGAAAAACAGCATGAGTATGTTAACGAGGCCGAGTCTAATTATTTCTACCCTTGAGATTTTGATAAATTTTGTTGAATTCATTTTTCCTATCATATTTATTGTTTTAAGATTAAAAAATCGAATGTTTACCGTCCCGATTTCTTAGGGGGGATCTCAAAGTAGTCAAATTTTACTATTGGACCCTGTGGGAATTGTTGGAATGCTTGGATTCTATTGGTACTTGGAAAGTACTGCTAAAATCGTTTTGTTAACATAAATTGATTAAAATTGATCGAACATTTTGCAGAGAGATGTATTTCTTTTTTCACATAATTACAAAGTTAACAATTTGAATGAATTATTCCCGGGGTACTGCTGAACTTTTCATTTTTTACCAAGCATATTTTCATTTATAGACGTCACATGATGACGTCGTAGTGGAGTACCTCTTTTTTAGTCTAAGACTCATTGATGTCTATACAATCGATAATAATAGTAAATGCTTTATCACTGGTTTTTTTCTGATTTATCAATATATAATTTTACAAAAAGTGTGTATTCGCGGATGCAGAATAATAACCTGGCTGCGGCATAAACATACCTGTGAAGAAACTATAATAAACAAACGCTGATTCATTTCCCAGAATTATTGAATTGGATTTGTTTTGCTTAATTTATATCATATTTAGCTGAAATTCCATTCCTAGCAATTTTTTTTGTACTATTGTAAATACTGAATACTTTTAAAACTTTAAGCTTTAACAAAACAGTTGAATTCTCGTTTATTTAAGAATGCACTTTTGTTACATCTCCATTTCTATCAATTTCCATTTACATCTTTAAAGGGCGCTTACATGGAAATGTTGTTTTGTATCTGTTTTTAATTTTGTTTTCATCCCTTTTTCCAGCATCACATGAATGCAATTCACCATTTGGAATTTGCTGAAAAGTAAATTTTGATAAAATAAATATATCACTAATAAATATATAAGATTTCCAATGTGTCTGTTATGCTTTTGGAGGAAAGTTGAATAAAAATGCAAAATACGATACGATACCAAAAAAAAAAAAAAAAAAAAAAAATCAACCTGTTACCAATATGGACCTTTTTTATTTTAATTTTTTTAATACCAAGTCTAATATTGGTTGATTGATAAAATGTTGTTTTACGTCCTGTTCGAGACTTTTTCACTCATATAGAGACGTCACCATATACCGGTGAAGGGCTTCAAATTTAGACCTTTACTCGGCTCTCTGGGCCATTGAGCAATGAGGGTTCTTTATCGTGCCAACGCCTACCGTGACACAGGGCCTTGGTTTTTAAGGTCTTATCCGAAAGAACTACAACTTTCACTTCAAAATGCTGAGCGCTTGGCGAAGGAACAGTTGCTACCTATTTTTTATCGACTCAGGTCAGCCGCAGCCTTGATTCGAACACAAGACCTTCCGATCACGGAGCGAGCGCTCTTTCGACTGAACTACAGTGATGGTATCAAGTTTTATAATAAGGGCACAGCAGAGTAAGATAAGCACGACATGAAATTTAAGCATACACAGCTTAAATGTTATGTTATCGGTGAAGTATTTGGCTCAGATAATCACAGTTTATGCAGCTATAGATTTGGTCTTTCGTACATACATGTGTTTAGTTCATCAAGGTTGTGCATAGATATATGTGGAACGTTCTATCGTTAAAATGATATTCTCCTACGGACCTTTATTCGTTCCGTGTATTGGCAATATAGCAAAAAGTGATAACTCGAACTAAGTGCATGTACTATGATCAATCCAGAGAGTTCCGAATGCCAACATAGCGTGTCAATTTGAAACGAGAAAAAACGTTGAATGAGTTGAATTTTCGTCTTTATATGGATTATTTATTATAGGTTAAAAGGGATAAACAATCTCAAAAAGGTTTGTTAAGATTAATTTGGTAGTTATTTTCAGTGCAACTCCTTTAGTATACTTAAAAATCATTTCCGAGCGGATCCGCTCCGATTTGCTATATTGCAAGTATATGGGACGTATTTTAACTGTGGTGAGGGTTTGTCTCCTGACGCAGTTAGATTATTCTGACTAGGTTGTTCATAGCCTCATACCTCGTACTCTGCTTTGAAACTTGAACCATTGTCCACACATATTTCTTTCTTGGTCTTCAGAAGGTCCTGTATAGATATTCCCTGTTTTATGTTCCTTGTCTCTGCCTCTCCATGTAACTGAACAGTATCGTTTTCGTACGAATGGATTTCTTTTTGCTCTGTTTGCATCAAAATTATATCATATATTTTTATGATTATATTTCCAGTTATCTATTCTGTAGATTCCGTAATAAGTGCTTCCAACATTACAGTATGATTTTTTGGTATTATTTGAAATTCTAACAAGCATTAAATTATCATAATTAAGCAATCTATATTTCAGTTTTTATTTCCAAATCTTGAAACATGCTAATATTTGAGTTATTGTCGTTCCAGACTAGGCAAAGATTTAAATAAGAAAATTAATCTAAGCACTTGCCTCTTAACTCATTCATGGAAGTGATAAGCTTTGAATGATCAATGTCATGATTATATTTGCGACGTCTAGATTTTCTGCAGAATAGAAGCAATGAAGTACATGATATAGTTGTTCTATAAAATTCTAAACGGTATACATAAACGTTTACTCTGCTTTTTAAAAGAACTTTGTAACAAGTGTCATGAATTGCATAAAGATATTATATATCCAGAAATCATTGATACAATAAATCGTAAAATATTTACCGTCTCCACAGAATCACAACTACCATGATTATCAGAATAAGAACAGCAACAACCACACCGATGATTAACGGTAGAATATCATTTTCTTGTTTTTCTTTTATTGATTCTATAATAATAATTCATTTGTATAACTAAAAGTTATCACTTTCACCTATGACATTTGAACATTTTTTTAAGATATAGAATATAATTGGCACATGAAGCTTCGTAATAATATATTAAACTTATGAGCAATATTTAATCAAAAATATTAAAGCAGTACTATAAAAGTTTGTTAACATCATTGATATAGGAAGAATAAATTTTTAATGATTTTAACACAATCCTTTTTCTTAAAGTTATGAGTTATAAATTGAATCATGTGTATTGTTTTAATTCGCATATGTACCGAGTCTTATTGAAATCATAACAAATACAGTGTCGTGCCATAAGTGTTTCAAGTTTACACATTACTGAAGAAAAAATTAAAACTATCTTCCAACCTTAATTCTCTAATTTTATACATTGTTCTATAATTATTTTTGGACGTAAGAAAATAGAAGTTATGTACGTCATTTGGGATTCCCCTGGTGTGAGTGGGGCTATTTTTAGATACTGTGGCAGACGTAAACAATCATGGCTTCGAATCGCCCTGAAATGTCTTCAGCTCTAAAGGAACAGATCGTGCGTCTTAATAATGAAGGTAGAAAAAAAAAATCTGAAATTGCCAAAATTACGGATATGATCGCTCCACAGTCTCCAAGTTTTTGAAGAGATTTTCTGTACGACAAAGTGTCACGAATAATCCTCGAAGCGGACGACCAAAACATATGACTGATCAGTCAGATCGCGTCTTGAACAGGTTGGTTATAAAAGATCGTAGGAAAAGTTTGAGCAATTTAACATCAGAATTAAATAGATCTATACCAAATCCACTGTCAAAACGATCAGTTCAGCGTAGTTTTTGAATTATAATCGTCGGAAAGTTGCCAAGACTCTTACCATCTCGAAAGTGAACAGAGTAAAGCGTGTTGAGTATTGTCGTGATCATAAATACTGGACCGTGGATCAAAATTGGATAACAGTTATATTTTCTGATGAAACCCAAGTCATGTTAGGGACAGACAGTAAAGTTTATATCTGGAGAAAGGCAGATGTAAAATGGAGACCGGAGTGCCTTGGATTACTTTCTGTCCGTTATGGTGGAGTCCGCCTATCTTTTTCGTTTTGGGGCTGTATCTGCTATTCAGGAGTAGGCTTACTTCCACCAATAGATGGGAATTTAAACATAGATAAGTACATTATACTTTTGGACAAAAATGTGTTGCAAGTTGTTGCCAAACACTTCAGTAACAACCCCTGGATGTTTCAAGACGATAATTGTCCTGCCCACATGTCAGCTAGGGCTAGGGCTTGAAAAGAACAAAATAATATTCCTTGCTTAGACTGGCCATCTCAATCACCAGACCTAAATCTCATAGAAAATGTATGGAGACCAATTAAAATTAAACTTTCAAGGGAGCAAGATAACATCAAAACAAAACAAGAACTTGTTGACTGTGTACTGCAGATCTGGACGTCCCTCACCCCAGCGTATTTACAGAGTTTAAACGAAACCTTACCCAACAGACTAAATACTGTAATTAGAGCTAAAGGTCATGCCACTAAATACTAAAAGAGTCAAAAGTCTGTAATCAACTATAGTAAGGTAAGTGGAGTTTTTGAAACACTGAACTGTAGTACTGCGCAAGATTGACGTCATGATAACTTGAAACAATTTTGGCATGACACTGTATATGCAGGAGAGTTTAAAAAAAACATAATCTTATTATTGTACTTATAAATGCAAAATTGAATATCGACATCTGATCCACTTTTGTACAAAATTGATTGAAATTGAATAAAAACTAATAATGGGAGAAATGTTCAGACGGACAACCAGACGCACGAAAGAATAAAAATGAGAGAAAAAAAACCCAACAATTTTCTGAGCATTGTGAATGTGGTTTAGATTTTTTAACATTAAGCAATTATGGGTAAATGAATGTGGTGAGTACTGAATAACTCTCATCTGGAGAAAAGGACAATACTGCATTTATATATACTGAAACGCAAAAGAAACGCAACAAGCAATAATTTACAACTATTTGAATTTTTTATCGAATGATTTTCAAAAATGAATACACTAACGTAAAAGTCGATTTGAAAACATCAGAGATTTGATAAAAATGTTAAATGTTATCTTTTAACTTTCGAAAGTAATACATGATGTTAAAACACCCCCACCCCGGCCATTCAATTACAGCGTGCAAGACTGCCATGCATAACAGTTGCAGCTTGATTTCTACGATGCAGTAGGTTCATCAATCTCGAAATATGAGCAAAAGCCATATTCTTTGCCATTTTTAAATGCCTGTTTTTGGGATGATGAGGTCGAATTTTTTCTAGCCAAGCGCATTGTAGTAAACCTTGGACTTCTGGTCCAAGGACTGTCATCCATGCTAATGATACGTAAGAGCCTGTTGAGGCATGATGTGGGTCATATTTGCATCTACATCGCTCCATCACCTTTATTTTAAGATTTTCCAGCTAGAGCAATGGAAATGCATACTTAAGTCATTTTCAGGAAGCCATGGCATCGCTTACGGAAAAGAAAGGGGAAATTATTTTTCGGAACATCGCAGCATTACTTATGATGAACAGATACATGTACAAATCATAATGTTGCCAAATGTATTGTTAAACATGCAATTGTTGATTTCTGTTAAGCAGACTCAAACTTAACTTCCGGTAATGGTATAAAAAATCACTCAAATGTTAAATTACCGATATTTAAAAAGTTGAAGATGTCCTTACTTTTTAGATACAAAATAATATCTTATATGTAATATTTCCCCCTAAAATATAATGTTGCGTTTCTTTTGCGTTTCAGTATATATGATTGTCGAACATAGTAACAAAGTATCAATACTATACAGAGTGTCATCTTCATTTGTCAACCAAAGTTTATGTAAAAATGTGCTATTACAGAAACAATGATATGCTAACTGCTAAAAATATATAAAAAAAAAAAAAAGGTTAAGAGTAATCTAACATAGGAAAAAGTATTAGAATCAAGTTGTTCTTTTATATAAGTAGATAAAATGAAAATATTTACGTCTACTCAGTGTATTGCAGGTTTCACCCTCATAGTTACTTTGGCAACCATCTGGACATGTTCCATTGACTTTGTTACATATTTCTTCATTGCGACAATGGCCACTGCAGTTTTGACGGCAATTTTCTCCAAATGTGCCATTGGAACATTCTACATACATTTATAAAATAAAACATAAGGCCATCTTAAAAAAAAAAAAATGTTTGGTTGCCCTCTCCCGATCGACTGGCTAAAAATGGACCTACTCAAAACTTTTTTTAATCTCCAGGAAGCAATTATTTTTTATGCATTCCGGATAACAGATTGTGAAAATACAGCGTGGATGTTGAAATTTTCTGGGAAATAATATCTTAATTGCACCTGTTTACCGACCCAATTTTCTCATCCTGATTCGGGAGAGGGCAAACAAACATTATTTCAAAGTTGACCTAATATACATTAGAAACTTTAGAATATCCGTTTTTAGGAAAACTTATCGAACGTTTTTTCAAGACTAGATAGAAAAGTATTTATCACAAATCAAACCTGTAGAACAGTTTTCTTCTTTCCATCCACTCTTGCATTTACAAGTTCCATACACATGATGACACTGGGAATCTTTACAATTCTCGGGACAAATATTCGAACAATTTTGACCATATGAACCAAGACTGCATGCTAATTGTTATAAGTAACATCAAAAAATGGTTCAGAAGAATAGGATACATGTATATCAAACAATCATACATCTATACTTATAAATTAACAAACTTTGCAAATAAACTCCGAATTGGTTGCGCCCGAGTTCTTACTAACTCCTCTAAGAATACACTAGATACAAGATGTTGTCCGTAAACTATATTTAGATTTCACTCGCATAGTAAGTATTGTGCTTTAAATTAAAAGTCTACTTTCATTTTCTACAAACTGCCATGAAATAGCAGAAACGTGAGTACGGTGGCGTTTCCGGTTGGCGGATCTAAGTTTCTGGCAATTTTTAATGAAACTGGCAACAAGCAATCGTTTATTTATTTCATAAAAGGTCATCACTGAATTATTCAATCAAAACTTGATTTAAATAAGGTGTGATAACCGATTAAAAGGGAAATGTGCAAGTTATTTTCGTCATTCACCGATCTTAATATAGACGGAAGCTTCTAGAACATCATATAGCATCGAGCCCGATGTTTATTAAAAAAAAGAAAACAAAAAAAAAAAACGAGGCGATGAACATAAAAAAAAGCTTTTGTGTGAATGATCATTGAAATAATGGCAAATCATTGATATCACCGTGAGTGACTATAAGTTGTGAATATATTTATATATCGAAAGATTATTACATATATGTAGTAGGTTTTCCTAATTTTATTGGTAAAATTTGTATATTTTAATTCCTCACTGAGAGCATAGTGGCAACAAACCCGAAGTACAATTTGTACTTAGTAACTAGAGCAGAACTCGTTGCAAAGCAACGAGTAGGTCTTCCGTTGGAGCTGCGAACAGGAAGAAGTGACTTTGAGTCAAGGTCATGCCACATTCTAAGGTTATAAGCAATCTTGTAAGGGGTATCAACTTGCAATGTCTCACCAGTAGAAAGACAGTTAAGGAATGTTGTTTCTCCGTTGATGACCTTGAACTCGTTCAAATGACCTTGCATCAAACCATGACACACTCTGGTTATAAGCAAACCCTATCTATGTGTTACCGACTCGACAAGTTAACACATGTTCTTTCAGACCATTCATCCAGTCAAAACATTCTTTCCTTAGTGACCCTAAATTTAATCAACATGGCCGTAAACCGAGGGGGGGGGGGGCACGGGGGGGCGTGCCCCCCCCCAATAATTTTGCCGATATATAGATTACTATAGTAGACATAGATACTATACTTGTGCCACCTCAATAAAAACGTCTGATTTTTTTGCTTGTCAAGGAATTTTTGGTAGTTGGTGACCTTTTTTTTTTTTTTTTGCTTGTCAGGAAATTTATGGTAGTAGTGCTCCCGTAACTGTCAACTGAAAGTGTATGGCTGTGCCCCCCCCCCCCCCCCAAAAAAAAATGAATTTGCTTCCTATGGGCCTGATCAAGGCAATGATAACACTCTGTATGATATCAGCGATACCCTTTTGTGTGTTTCGCACTTGACAAGTTCACAGTTCGCATTTATTGCATGATAGTGAGGGAGACATGAAGATTTCTTCGCCCATAAAAAATCATATTCCCAGAGGGCAACATGAAGATTTCTTCGCCCATGAAAAATCATACTCCCCGAAGGCAACGCCCGAGAGAAATATGATTTTTCATTTGCGAAGAAATCTTTATGTCTCCCTCACTATTATGCAATAAATTGTTTATAATACCGAATTAACCAAAATGCAGGAATTACAAAGGAGATCCAATGAATAAAGCAAACATGCATTTGATGAGAACGATATGAAAGATATGTAAGTTACAGGTACACCAATAGCCTCGTTTCATTAAAAAAAAATTCCTACGTGACAAGTTTGTGTGATCACACCAGTAACATTCAAACACCACCATTACATTTTTACACATTTAAATCGACACAATCAAACAACGATAATATGTTGACGGTGCGACCGTTGGGGCGAGTGCATTGTTCACTTAATTTTAAGATCCGCCTCTTCAAACAGCACAAGACATTTGGAACGTCTAGACTGTGACGTCTCATGACGTATGTTAGCTGTATTTCCATAAACGAATTTTGAAAAGTGCAAACATTTTAACAAAGAACGTTTAATCTACTATCTGTATGCAATTCTATTAATTAAGGTGATTTTTTGGGGTGAATTTTTAGTTGTTGTTACCGCGCGAACGAAGTTAGCAGCGTCGCTATAAACAATCTAATTCCTAACTCGTTTAATTGTGACGTCACAATCGTTAAACACGACGTTTTGTTGCAGAGCAAACATGATGGACACGTGACTTTCTCGGCCAATCAAATTCTATTTCACTAGTGATTTTTCACTTGTAAGCTAGTTTTCACAGAGGTATAATAAACTTTTTTTTTAGACCATACATCGAAATAAATTATCATAATTTCTATAGTCGTAATTTATTAGGTTCAACTCACTGCTTTAAAGGATCATTGTAAATGTTTTATGCCCGATTTGGATACTGAACAACGTGTGATTTTTGAAACACTGATGCCCCCATATGGCATCTTATGGCAAAAGTTAAAGTTTCTCAAATGCAAGTCAAACTCCATGGTCAAGATCAAAAGATAAAAAAGAATGTTATTACCCAAATAAAGGTCTTGAACAAAGAATATACTGTGAAATATATACTAGTATGAAAGCCACAGCAGCAACAGTTTAAAAGTTATGGCGAAGGTTAATTTCTTTAAAAGGTCAAACTCCAAGGTCAAGGGATCATAATTGTTTGTACTTGAGGGAAGGTCTTAATTGTTACAAGGAAAACACATGTGGTATTAAAAAAGCCTTAGCACCAACTGTTCAAAAGTTAAAACCAAGGTTAAAGTTTTTCAAAAGTAGGACATACTCAAAGGTCAAGGTAAAATGGTCAAAATTATAGGTATACAATGACAGGCCTTGTCACAAGAAAATTACCTATGTAATATAAAAGCCCTAGTACTAGTCATTCAAAAGTTATTGTCAAGGCTAAAGTTGTTTAAAAGTTGGTCAAACTCCAAGGTCAAGGTCAAATGGTCAAACATATTTATACCCAAGGAGGAGACTTATCACAAGGGATACAGATGTGAAGTATAAAAGTCCTAGCACCAACTGTTCAAAAGTTTTGGCCAAGGTTATAATAGTTTGGTAAAATTTTGCGAAAGAGGATCAAACTCCAAGTTCAAGGTCAAGAGGTCAAATATGTTGGTACCTGAAGGAAGTCCTTGTTACTAGGAATACACATAAGAAATATGAAAGCAGTAGTTCCAACCAATCAAATTTTATGGGCATAGTTAAAGTTTTTGCGGACAAAGAGGTTAACACAGTCTAACAGACAAATAGACAGGTGGACAGGACAAAAACTGTATGCCCCCCGGATCTTCGATTACAGTAGCATAAAAAAATGTCGGCGTCTTTGGGTTTTCGCATTGGCCTTAAATCTGAAAATCCAAAGGATTACAAGGTGCATTACGATACGCTTTCACATCATGTTCTATAACCCAGAGCATATTGTCTGCAAAGATAAATATTTAATTCAGTATTTAATTAGCTATGCATAATTATCTATGTTGTTTTAAAAAGGAAATATAAAAAAAATATTTGTTTTATATTTTTCGATCTAGAGATATACAGAAAATGTTTTCCAATTTTAAGTCCTATCGCAATACACATTTAAAAAAAGTGTGTGTTGGAGGGGGGGGGGGGGGGGAGGTCATTACATTTTTGCTGGGATTCGCCTATGTATGACCGTAGAGAAACAAAGAGTGGGGAGGGGGCAAGCAGCAACTAAATCAAAATTTACATATTAAAACTACAGCAAAAGACTATTTTCAGAAGGTCTGCCCCCCCCCCCCCTCCCGTACAATCCGTACAACGGACCTGTGAAAAAAATACTGATCCTACATTCAGAGTCCCAGGGCACCAGGAAAGAGTGGCAAAAAGAGAATATCGGTTTATTTCAGTCTATAATTCGAACCAAAATATCTTTTCCTCAAGAGTCTTCTTTCTTTGAGTTCATCCCAGTGATCGTGTGATTTATTTCATTTATTTTACGTTCTGTACTGGACTTGGAAAATGAGGATATCTTTAGGTTCCTGAGCTGGCCTTGAAGCCCGCAGAACAGATTTTCTGCTTTATGATAAATTCAAGTGATATGTAATTCGGTATTAATTTTGTGTTGATTTTTTTTAATGTTAATTTCATCAAGAAATATGAAAATTTAATGTTTTAACTATACATAGTGAGGCATTTTTGTGTGGAACGATTATTTTGGGGTTTTCACGATTTTTTCATATGGTACACATGATAAGTAAGTGCAATAAATATAATTTGTGGAAAAAATGTCCAAGCCCCGGGGTTGAATATCGGGGGGGGGGGGGGGGGAGGGGTCTGTCAACAAGTACCTGTTGTCAATCCCGTAGAAAGCAATTTCAGTTTTTTTGGGAGGGGGGGGGGCAAATAGAAATTTCCATAGGTACTTGTACTCGATTTTTTCCTATGGTACACATGATGAATAAGTGTAATAAATATAATTTGTGGGGAAAGAAAATGTCCAACAAACATCGGGGTTGAATTTGGGGGGGGGGGGGGAGGATCCTGTCCACAAGTACCTGTGGAAATTTCTTGATACATAAACAGAATTTAAAAGCATGTATAAGACATCAATTGAAGGGGAGAGGGCACGGCCGTAATTAAAAGTTATATAGAGACTAGGAAGGAATGAACTGTCATTAAATTTTGGTTAAGAACTATTACCTAAACTCTTCACTTTCACATTTTCAATTACAGATTCTTGTTTTTAAAAAGGTATACATGTACATTTATATGTATCTATTAGATATATAAATTATGTTATTATTCATTTTATCTTAAAGAAAAAGTAAAAATCTCAATCAAACTTGTTCCGCATATTATGCTCTCTGATTCATTACTCAACAGATGCTTCACATAC